GTAAAAATGCTGTAAATGAGAATGTTTTCAAAAATAATGTCATAATCATAAATAGATTTTATTTATCAATTCACTTTTATTAGTTAACTATTATTAACTGTTATTAACTTTTAACAGTTAACTAAATCAAATCAGTAGGTGTTTAGTAAACAGCTTTTGTCCAGGTATTGCACAGTTTTAGTTTTGCAGGTTTTTTCAAGCGTCTTTGGAAACGGTGAAATATTAAAATATATTGAAATATTAAAATTAAATATATATATATATATATATATATTGTTTAGGGTTTATTTATGTAGAAAAATAGCGAGAGTGATGTTATACATTTGTTTGAAACGTTAAACATAACACATTTAAAATATATGATTATGTTGTAATCTACAAATAGGCCTAATTAAAATAATACCTGGAAAATACTAGTCTACTGCTAATTTTAAATAATCATTAATAATTCAAATGTATTTGAATACAATGAATACATCTTTCACAAATATTAGTGCAAAGCAACTTTTTCTCCTGACATTTTCTGTGGACCTCCTAATTCTTCCTTGCAACCTAGCCTGATTATTCTCTGATCAACTAAAAATGCCAGACGTTTTTCAAAGATTAGGGGTTTGACCATTACACCGTCTGGAGGTGGTGCTGATGAGCGGGTGCAGGTTTTTTATTTATTTATTTATTTATTTATTTATTTTTTGAAGAAACATGTAAATATACAAATATATTCAGGAGAACATAAAAGAGGTAAAACAAAGACAAATTATACAGAATAATTCCAAATCAAGTGCCATAAAAATAATTATCTATAAAACATTAAAAAATAATAATTATAATAGGCTAATACAAATAAAATAAACAATGTACTGTATGATATAAAGCTGTTTAATCCTGACTATCAGATCCATTACAAAATATTTTTTCATATATGTTCAGGAATCTATTGCATTTTTTATTGCTAGTTAAATTAAAAGATTTAAGCAGTGAGTCTACTTCAACCAAAAAATGTGAGAAAATAGAAAGTGATCTCATAAATTTCTGTTCATGGATGAAAAATTTGCCAAATAAAATAAAAAAAATTCAAAATGTATTCTTTGGATGTGTGGGAATCAGTATAATAACAAATAATACCTTTCAAATTAAAGGAGTGTGCATGAATGGGGGAAAATATATAAGACCAAAATTTCTGAACCAAATTGCAAGGAAAACATAGTGTCTTAATGTTTCATCTTCGTCACCGCAAAACGAACAGGTACTAAAAAATATAAATATATTTGGACACGTTGCATTAAGCACAGTATTATGTTCTTTAAAAGGAATAAGAAAGTCATGAGGCGTTCATAAGTCAAATGTTGAATTGTCAAATGAGCGCGTGCAGGTGTGGTGAGTCAGTCCTCTGGTGATGACGAGTGGATGGGCGGAGTCGGGTGATCGGGCGCTGATGGTGCGGCAGGTGTTACTGATGACTCCGGGACAGTTATTGCCTGATATTATGTGTATAAATATTACCCATCTTCATATGATGTGACAATGTTTTAGTGTTTCACAGGTTCTTGCTCGTCACAAAATCTTTCACTGAGACTCTGAGAGGAACAATTTAAAAGTGAGTTCTGAATAAATGTTAAATGTTGTTGTACATTGTGTTTAAATGCATTAAGGATCTCAGTGTGGCGCATATGAGTGCATGCAGACATTTAACTTCTCCTGCTTATTAATTTCAGGTTCATCATGGCAATGCTGAAAAGCTGTCTGCTTCTTTTCATCATCTTCTCCATGGGGAATAGTACAGAAGGTAACCAACACATTTATTTGTAAAAACCCTTGCTATTTAGAAACCTCTTGGAAATGTACAATATTCCGTTGATTAGTATTTGCATGATGAATAAGGGGTTTATGGTGTTTTCAGAAGATGATCACACAAATGCCGGAAGATGCCCTGCTGAATGGAGGACATTTGGACTCGGATGCTACAAGTACTTTTCTGATGCGAGTAACTGGATCACAGCAGAGGTAATGTGTTCACACGAGAGGATTGACACACTTTATATTAGGTGTCTTTAAGCACATCTAAAACACAGATGTAAAGACGTGTAACTGCATTGTCCGATTAATTTAAACTCATAATTAAATACAGGAAAAAACTAATGTAATCTCTAAAAGGAAGAGTTAGTTCAGGCAAGAAGTTACGATACAAAGAAATTTGATCTAGAGCTCAGTTTAGTTGTGTAGAAAATTTAAGATCAAACTTAATCCACTTTTATAATGCTTGTGTTCCCATCATGCACTGGGGCGTGAATCCTTCCCCTCTTTCATTGCTTTTGCAGTTAAGTTTAGTAACTTGCCATTATGTGAAATCTGGGCTAATTTCTGTTCAAATGAACACAATCTCTCAAACGATCTATTGAATGTTGAAGTCACTGTGTATTGGAGTTCAGGTGTCCTTTAGAAATTAGATTTTACTTGCTAATAACAGGTAAATCCTAGTGATTAATAAAACCCTTCCTATAAAGTGAGTGTTATTTTGTAAAGTGAACTTTCTTTTCTGCAAATAACTGACACAGAAAACTGGTACTGAGTAAATCAGAGCAAACTTTTCTTGCAAATGTCTAAAATGTCACTTGTGTTCTGCTAAAATTGATTTTCTCTTTAGAAAAACTGTCAAAGTCTTGGAGCGAATCTCGCATCTGTGCGTAATGAACAGGAAAATGATTTCCTGCTGAGTCTGTTGCCTTCTCCTTCCACACGTACTTGGATTGGTGCTCATGATGCTGTTCAAGTAAGTTCAGTTGTGTGTCCTAAAGAGACCTGTTTGTTTGTCTAAACTACAATTGTTGCTTTAAAAAGTAAAGGCAAAGTTTCTAATGAAGATGTTTTGACTTCAAATCTGAACTAAAGCTTCTTCCTGAAGTCTGCCAACAGTAGTGCACTCTTATATTCTCTCTTCAGGATGGACGGTGGTTGTGGAGTGATGGATCTGTGTTTTCGTACACCAACTGGTGCTCTGGAGAACCCAACAATTACCAGCAGCATCCCGAGGACTGTTTGGAGATCAACTTTACCTGTAAGAATACAGCCTTTTTCAATACTATGTTTACTATCCAATTTTTACATTCAGTAAAATGTATGATTTTTGGATTTCACAAAGTGCCTAAAGTTGAACAGTCTTATTTTGATTGTAATGATCAGAATAACTGATTTGATTATTCCCCCTTACAGCTGACTGTTGCTGGAATGATGAGACCTGTTCAACCTCATTATCCTATATTTGTGTGTTAGACATGTGTGATTGTGTGACTCCACGGGGACCTACGTGAACATTTATGCTAATTTCAAGTGTTCTTAAATCGAATCTCTTCTAAACTTTAATCAGTTGTCAATGTCATCTCTGAACCGCTCCTCTAATAAAAGCATTGAAAATCCAAATTGTATGAAGTTTCTGTATGTAAAAATTGAAGTATATTGTGTTGCAAAGGGTTTGAGAATCTGGTCAGAAAGGCATTAAATGAGATCATCAGGGGTGGGGTTTAAACTGCACACATGCTTCATCATTGGCTTGTTTTTTTTTTCATTGGTGTTTTCTGGATAATAAACAATATATGGAACTCATCCAGGGCCCTTTTTGTTTTGTGAGTATGTGAGAAACCACTGCAAACAAATCAGATTATTCCCCAGATGTTTATGAAAACTTTTTTTTTTTGGGGGGGTGGATTTGAATATATAGTTGAAACACTCGCAGAAACGTTTTTTTCTTAAAAAAATGTAAAAAATAAATAAAAATTTGTGATTTTTTTTTGTGTGTGTTTTTGTCAATTTCCCATTCATTTCCTATGGGGGTCATTTTTGACCAGTGACCACAAGTGAGACTTTTTTTTTTTAGACCACTCACTTAGCATGCTCAGATCTTGACCTCAATTTTTTGTTTGTTCATATACATAAAGTCACCAAGTTTTGTAATATTACGATGATGCTGTGATTTTTTAAAAATTCAAAAGATACTTTTTGTAATCAAAATGTATTGGTGTGTATTGTGTATAAAAGTGTGTTTGTATGTGTGGGTGGGTGTGTCTGTTTTGCACTCTAGATGTTGTAGAGTGTCACCCCTTTCCTGTGGTGTATTTTTTTTTTTTTTTATTATTTTTTTTTTAGAATTGTAGCCGGTTTGTAGATTGCACGTGCAAAAATTGAGAATTTTTTTTTTTTTTTTTTTGTCAATTTCCCTTTCATTTTATGGGTTAATATTCCGATGAAGCTGTGATTTTTAGAAATTCAAAACAGAATTTTTTTTGGTCAGAAATGAGCGAAGAACAGCTGCGGGTTAAAAAAGTTAATACATAAGACAGCTTGGTTTGTATGTGCAGTGTGCATTGTACAATGAAACGTCAAAGTATGTTATGTTTTCCACAGGTTTTATTTAACTCATAAATCAGCAAAAAAAAAAATATCCGCACCACTTTTTAGACTGAATACCCATGCGTATGCCATCACCGTTTTCACAGATTTGCATTTTTCCCTATGGTTTTTTGGTATATTCAAAAACTTGTACTTTAAATACCATTTTCAAAGTTGAACACAATTGTGTAAATGAATGGCCAAATAGCATAAGAACGTTCTGTTATTGAAAACTGTACAGTATAAACGGCCCCTGATTGGCTTGAGTAGACAGTGGGTGGAGTCCAAGTACTTGTTGATTTGAGTCCACGTGGAAAGCCATCCACAAATACACAAAAACCCATTCACAAATTAATGCCAGTCAGAATTGTGTTTGTGACATAAAAAAATCTATTCCCATATAGGTTTTATTGGCAAATCAAATTTTTATTTATATCTAAAATATATTTGTGGATCATAATCTATTTATTTGAAACAAAGGAATTCTACCCCCTTAGGTAATGTCAAATAGCCTCCATATAATCACTGCTGACAGACAGTGCTGCTGAATGATTCACCAGAGCCCAAGTCAAAAAGAGAACGTGCAGTCCTGCATGAATCTTGTTTTACCGTAAACCACCGTATATAGCCTACCCTGATCTTTTGTGTCGTGTCGATCTCAGATGGTCGACTGTAGAGGTAGAACATTCTAATTCAGTGGCTCGATTAAGATCCATCAACCTGCATTTCATTTGGACTTAACAGGATCAAAAATCTGCTTAAACGGTTTTCTCTTTAAGGTTTTAAGGCGACGCAGAGACGAATCAAGAAAACTGATTAACCTTCCTCTGAGTTTACACGTCGTCCTTTGATGCCATTAGAGATTCGTTGACTTTTAATATACAGATTGGCTGTAGTCGAATATGGTTCAGATGATAAAATGTGGTATTTCACGCCATTAAATGCTGTTTGCTAAATGTTTTTCCTGATATAGTGGGTCGTCATGTAGTTGTGGAATGCGTGTGCGCGTCTATTAGAAGGATTGTGAGCGCGAGTGGAAAGTGTTTGTCTATGGGGTCTTCTGTACGTGGCAGTGACCAAAATCACTGTAACGTTAAACCCTCTGAAACAGGGTGTTTATAAAACTCTTTTTCTGGCTCTGCCCCATCACACTTTACTTTATACTCAAAACGAGGTAAGAGCTCATACATGTTTAATGGTTTTCATTTAACTCGATTGTTTGTAACAAATCTGCATGTCATGCAACAGCGTTATAGTGACATAAACCTCTATTTCACCTTTACACTACAATGTTTCTTATTCTAACGTTATTCGTTTTTTTATTCAGAGTAGGCTAGTGCATGTTTGAAAGTGCAGCTTATCAGCTGATGGTGAAATGTGAGATGAAAACCGTGTTTTAATTCATGTAAGTTAAGTTAAACCCTGTAGTAAAACAAGTGTGGAGACGTTAGCCTGTACGTTTAGTACTGCTTTATATTTCTTTTCATTCCTTAAACACTTTATATGTGTCATAAATATAATATACCATTACCATTTTTACTTTTCACTTGAATTCAAGGCTCACAGTTAGCTGCTGGGATGAGTCTAATGAATATGAATATTATTTAACTTACTGTATTTCTAAGAGCTAACAGCTGTGTCTGAATGCAACTGAATGTGTAAAATAATGGATAGTTTTGTCAAGTGTTGATAGATTTTTTGCTGATATCCTGCAGCGGCTGAAACTCAAGGCAAATCCTCATGGGGTGGACAGGACATTTTCTAGAAGATGTCGTCATCGCTCTTGTGCACTGACTTCAGAAACATTTGAAAGTTTAGAGGAAGTTTTGGTTTGCTCTTAAAATATAATCAATCTTTTTCTAACAGTAACATTATTTGCCTTGAGGCAAATCATTTGGTGAACACTGGTTTATTCATCTGAGTTCCCAACTCTGTTCAGATGGAGCATACAGATCATCGGTAAAGTGGGAATTGTGTCCTATTTTCCCACTAGCAAGAATCCTCAGCTTCGTCCAATGACCTGTCAGCATTCAGAACCATTAGCACAACTAAAGAGTCAAACACAGCTGTTTACATGGGAGTTTACCTTTAAAGTAGGTGCGAAGGCAGTCAATCTGAACTCCAGATGTTTAAGAAGTAGATTAAATCTGACTGTGTAATACTGTTTGATTAACTATTTTCCAAAGTGCTTAAGTCAATAAGGGTTAGTTCACCCAAAACAGAAAATCACCCCATGTTTCACTTACCCTCAAGCCATCCTAGGTGTATATGACTTTCTTACTTCAGCCAAACACACGGTTATATTAATAAAGTATCCTGGCTCTTCCAAGCTTTAAAAATGGGAGTGAATAGTACTTAAGGCTTAGATTTTGATCCTTAAAAAAGCACATCCATAAAAGAATAGGAGAATTTTTAATAGGAAACATTTTAGTAGGAGTTTTATGCATAATCTTCACACAGATTATGTTGGAATTGGATTGTGACTTTGTGAATCTAAAAACGAATGGAATCATGAGGTCTCTCTGGTGAACTTGTTTAAGAGACGTGTGGATTCTCTCTGTGGTTTCCATTTCGAGTTTAACCAATTTCACCCACGCCCAGTTAAACTTTCGCTCTGGCAGGTTTTATGCTTTGACAGTAATGACTGGTCATTAGTTTAAGGAGTTGGTCACATTTGTACCAAAGCGTTTGTTGTTTATGACAGCATCTAATTCCACTTCTTAAAACCATAAAAAGTTGTATAATCCATTTGTAATAAAAAATTATAATAAACTGTAATCTGATGAATGCATAGTGGTATACTGACATCAATCCTTATAAATGTGATGAACATGTTTAGAAACTCTTTGAGTCAGACATCAAGCTGAATATATTGGTCTCAGGTTTTATTTAATTTCTTGCCTATGCAAGTTGATTTGGTTGCTGTGTAAACATATATTGTTGTATAGTTGCTTAGTTACATGGCAAGTTTTTCAATCTACAGTACACAAGCACAATGTTCTTTGTATCGTTTCTGGTCAAGAAAAACTCTGCAGCTGTTTCTTGACCCATTTGTGGTTAAACACCAGAGCTTTCTGCAGTCTATTCTCTGACATGACTTGGTATTTAATGTCTGCCCTCAATTGTAAAAAAAAATAATAAAATACGTGCACATGTGTAGACTTGCAAGTATATATATTTGCAGCCTTGGTGACTGGAAAAAAAAATGTTTCCAAACTTTTGACCGGTATTGTGTACACTATTCAAAATGTATTTTGGCAACCTCAGCAATGTTCAGATAAAGATGCATCACTCCACTGGGATACATTTCTAAAATGTCTCTTTGGTTTTCTTGTAGGTTTTGCTTGACGATGGCAACGTTTCTGGGGCTAACACTGTTGACTCTGTTCTTCTCTTCACCCACGCAAGCCGAAATCTTCACGTCAATCGGTACATTTCTAAATAAAGTCATTCTATTTTGCAATTAAACTTGCAGAGACAACTGTTCTGTGAGTGAACCATTGGAAGGTTGATTTCCCCAAACAGTGGCAATACTTTGGCTTTGTAGTGCTAATGTAGGGTTAGCTGTTTGTTTGAGCTTCTTGTCCACACCAACACAGCTGTTTGTCTGCAAAGTGGCAGATGAGGGGAGTGTTTGGCAAACATTACTTTTGCAATTCCATTTGGTGATACTAATTTTGCAGAAATTAAACTGATGATAAACATTTCAAGAAATATTATTTTCATTATGCGATAAATCATTCTGGAAACTTCCTTATTAGTCTAAAAATCGCTTCTATTGAAACCAAGTTGCCAAAACAACTCAAGCCAGTTACTAAATGGTCAACTTAAAACTGTTCCTTTTAGTAGCATGTAAATCAACTGTTATTTAGGGGCGTATTGCTTCGGTTAGTTTTCTGCTAATTATTCCTCCCCAATGGGAGTCTATGGCAGTCGTATGAACCGTAGGAAAATGGTGAAAATTGGTACACTTGTAGTGATGGTAATGAATAGTAATGTGACCAATGTAAGGGTCAACTCCATAGTGCCACCACCAGTTAAAGAATTCACATTTGAAACAGTTATAACCTTTGAAACCCTTTGATCTAGAAAAATTAAGCTTATTACAACTGATTCCTCTCATCATGCTGATCACATTCAACATCATGCATTAAGACTCCGTCTATTACGGTAGTGGAAAAGTACATTTTGAAAAGTACAGTATTCTGTTTTTTCACTATTCATTCCTTCAAAATGTGTCCAATTCTTATGAAAATTGGCAGAAATGATCTTTGGAACGAGCCGCAAAGAAATGAAATGACTGAATGTAATTTCAATACCCACTGGTCAAAAAAAGTTATGATGTTGTGAACTTAACTAGGTCGAGTTTAACTAGGTTAAAATTTGGAACCATGATCTAGGAGGCCATGTGAAATGAAAAATGCCTATTTTTGCTAACAACTTACAATTTGTCAGAAAATCTGTGCTTATTTCCCATATGGCGGAAAGTCCAAATTAGTACTTATATGCCAAGTTCATTCAAGACCTTATTTGACTCTATTGAAATGTTTTTTGTCATTTAAAAATGTTCATTCTCACCTTGAATCTCTCTTCCATATCAAAACAAAAGTCGGTCATCTCTGAGACCCATTAAGCTTAATTACCGAATTTCCAAACAAAAGCATGTTTAAACCCTTGTTACCGGAACCATTTTACCAATGTTCTGTCAAAATTTTTTAAGAACTTACAGATATCAACATCAACATAGAAAGAAATGTGAAAAAAAAACAAAGTATTATTTTAACTACTTCTTGAACCCATTGATCTCATCATGCCACTTTTTTTTTTTTGTGTTATTTTTAAAGTTTTGAAACCAATGTATTTTTTAGCTACTTTTGTAACCCATGGGACCATTGGAAGGGCTTGGCCCCGTGATGGATGTTTGCAGCTATATTCCAAATTATGATTTTATATACTGAAAGCAATCAAAGAATGCTTCAAACCAAGGCTTTATCTGTACCAAAATCCCCATTCAATGATGCTGTTTACACTGTACAATGCAATGGGAGTAGATTTAAATATAATGCAAGAATCAACACTTTATGCCTCGACAGCTGAAATATTAAAAATGTAAATATTTCCCAAAGTGTTCCACATTTCATGTGGTAGGTAAATGGATGGTGGATGGTAAATTTTGCCAAATCATGTGCTTTTTTTTGGTCTTGTGCTCTTTTTTTTTTCCTTTTGGTAAAACTTTTCCACCTCCTTTCATAGGCCAAATGACAGACCTGATATATACAGAGAGAGAGCTCGTCAAATCACTTAAAGAATACATTGAGGCGGAAGAGATGAAACTTGAAGCTGTAAAGAGGTGAATCTTTATCTAAAATATATATTTTTTGAATGACTTGTTTTACACGTGACTTACTCCTGCACTTTATTATGCTGAATGTCCTGTGATTTTTGTTGTTTTTTTGTTGTTTGGGTTGAAAAAATGGCAAGTGTAAGAGAATCGTGATCTCAATTCCCATGGAGAAAAATCGTGATTCACATTTTAATAAAAGAATCGTGCAGCCTAACGTGAACCCATTACTCATTTGTGTTTTTTGGTGCCCATTTGCTGGCTTCAGCTGGGCTAATAAACTAGATCTGTTGACACATGCATCCACGTCGGACCCCGAAGGCTTCCTGGCTCACCCGGTGAACGCCTACAAGCTGATGAAGAGACTCAACACAGAGTGGTCGGAGTTGGAGAGCCTGGTGCTTCAAGACCCATCAGATGGTACAGTCTGTCCCCATGATGCATGTGCAAATTATGGAAGTAACTTCTGTTAAACTGTGAACAGTCAGTCAAAGGTTTGCTCCATAAACATGATAATAAGCATTTTCAAATCCTGGGTATAATGACATGACACAATCCTACTTGCCCTTCAACCATTGAAAACTTTAAAGGAAATTTAAAAGTGTAAAAGCATTAACAAATTACTAAAACAGACCCCAAAAGCTTTATTATTTCTGCAGCAATACTACGAACAGTTTAATATTACTGTTGTACCTGCACATTTGTGAAACTGTTAGCGTCTCGGTTCACTCTGTCTTGCTCAGAAAAAACGTTCTGAGAAACCAAGATGATCAAAAATGCAACACAAATACAACCCAAACTGCTCATCTGCCTGATTGTTTGTGAATAAAGTCAGTCACTGCAGATGCTCAACTCTCACCCTAATGTGAACTTGTGTGAGCACGTGTTCCAACGTGTCGACATGTGGAGTTCTTGAGAATGTTTCCACTTAAAATGAAAGTCAAGGATCATGTACAGTCACTGGAAGTAGGATATCAGGACCCCAACATGAAGCAGATTATTATGAAATTCATACATGCTAATGTGAGAAGAACGAGCAAGTGACATACAACTACCACAGCTGGAAAGTAACCAGACAGTTTCTGGTCTCATTGACTTCCATAGTAGGAAAAAAATATACTATGGAAGTCAATGAGACCAGAAACTGTCTGGTTACTGATATTCTTCTAAATATCAGAAAATCAGCTGAATGGATTAGAAAACGGTAAAACTCGACTGTTTAATGGTCAATCTGACTACAGTAGATGTGAAAGATATTAATAAAAATGATGTTAATTCAGCCAGCTCACATTCCTCTATTTGCTTCCTGTTTTCGTTCGAAGCCCACAGTAGTCGATTGTCGATCTCACGCATGCGATCATTGGTTACTAAGCAACAGTGGAGTCTCGCGTCGCCGATGACGGTGCTGTGTGGTGTTCTGAGAATATCAGCTCAAATGGATAGTTCATCCGAATCAGATGTTGAACACATGGAGGAGGTTTGAGATGATATTCACCAATGATCGCGCACGTGAGTTCGACAATCGACTACTGTGGGCGCAGAACTCCGGCGCAAAATGAACCTTTGGTCTAATTACACATTGTTACCTAGTCAACCGTTATCTGAGATTTGTTTTCATGATTGCCGAATGAAAATAGTTTTATCTCCAAAAACAGTTTAGCCTATAACGCTAGTATAACGCTAGTATATAGGGCATAGAGTAATGACAAATAAAAATCGCTTGTTATTACCACCAACAAGGCTCAAAATAACCCCACACTAACACAACAGCATAATAAGGGTCCCTACATTCAAACCGAAGCATTGAGAACTTTGTCAGTGTCCATACAGTTTAATAAGAAGATATTTTATACACACAGTCAACTTCACGAATACAGGAAGAAGCCAACTTTGAAAAATAGTCTCTACCAGTCGATCTACGAACACCGATCCATGTGCGCTGGTGAGATGTGAATAAGGTGATAAGGTGAGCGTGAACAGTAGTCTACGTGTACATATTGAAGAGAAGAAAACGGTTTGTGTTTGTGTTTCTTCCGGAAACAACGGACCATATGAGATTCTGCACAGTTCAGCGCACTTGGATCGGCGTTCGTAGATCGACTGGTAGAGACTATTTTTCCAAGATGGCTTCTTCCTGTATTCGCGAAGTTGACTGTATGTATAAAATATCTTCTTTTTAAACTGTATGGACACTAACAAAGTTCTCAATGCTTCGGTTTGAATGTAGGGACCCTTATTGTGCTGTCGTGTTACTGTGGGGCTATTTTGAGCCTTGTTGGTGGTAATAACAAGCGATTTTTATTTTTACTCCATGCCCCATATACTAGCGTTATACTAGCGTTATAGGCTAAACTGTTTTTAGAGAAAACTATTTGCATTCGGCAATCATGAAAACAAATCTCAGATAACGGTTGACTAGGTAACAATGTGGAATTAGACTAGGGCTGTCGCGGTTATGGAATTTCCCTTGCGGTAATGTTGAGTGGCTCAATAGCGCGATATGCGGTATTACCGCCATTTATTTATTTATTTAATTTATAAGTATTTGTTGCTATAGAAAAAAAGTTTACAATGTGGACAAAAACGAGGTCATTTAACCAATAACCGAAACTAAACAGTGTCTATATGCGCATTGAAAGCATGATTGAAAGGCTTTCACTCAGCGCGCATATTGTTATGACAACGGACTTTGAACCGTTCATTCAACGAACACGTTCAAAGAAGCTGATTCGTTAAAAGAGATGTAATGAAACAAGATGTTATTATTTATAACTTTGATTTTAACTTTGTTCCACTTTTCAAGGCTCAGCTGATCAGTAATGCGTCGCATGGGTAACGCGGAAGCTGATGCTTCACTTATTAGAGACCAATATGGCATTGATTCAATGCGTGACTCTGTGATATTATTTTCTGCGGCTTCCTCGCGCTGTGGGATTCTGACCAGCGCTGCTGCTGACGCGCATTTGTGGAAAATACCCGTGATGTGAAGCTTAAAATGATGATACGACAAATATTTCGCTTTCCTTTGACACGGCAACCTTTTCACGACTTCAAAGACAGACGCAGGTAATCGCGCGCGCTCTGCAGATCTCTCTCATTCAATGTCTGTGAAGCCTCTGTTAGTCTGTAAGCTACACATCACTAAGATAAACAGTCTTGTTGTTATCATTATAAACTTGTTTAGCATTCAATACACATGCATGAAGTTCAAAACAAGAAGAAGCCTTATAAAAAAAAAAACGTGAATATCGCGGTTGCTGCGGTTACGTGCAATCCTCTGCGGTTGACCTGTCAGAAGCGCGGTACTGCAATATTGCGGTTATCGCGACAGCCCTAAATTAGACTAAAGGTTCATTTAGCGCCGGAGTTCTCCTTTAATATCTTTCACGTCTCCCGCAGTCGGATTGACCGTGGTCACTCTTAATAACACCACTCACATGGCTGTGCACTCGTAATGACAAATGAAGGAGGTTAAGAGGCTAAAAGCAGGTTTACAACATGCCCCATTGAAGTCAACAGGGTGAAAATTTAAAAAAGACAATAACATGGTGTAGGCAACACCGATTTTTGTTGTTTTTCTCTCTACTGACAGCACTCCAAATGTACAAAAAAATTGACCGGACTTTTCCTTTAAACTCATTATTCAAAAATATTTGACCATATATTACTGCCATTGGTGTATTGTACTTGATTCTCATTGGGCAAAGCACTGTCATTTCATTCTTAAATTGTTTTCTTCAAGCCATGTTCAAATAATAAAAAAACACTTTTCTATCTCTCTTTCCCTCTGTAGGCTTCATATCAAACATGTCGATGCACAGACAGTATTTCCCTGATGAGGAGGATGAGAAGGGAGCAGCCAAAGCGCTCATGCGTCTGCAGGACACGTATAAACTGGACTCAGAGAGTTTCTCCAAAGGCAAACTGCCAGGTCAGAGGCAGCACGCGGGTAACTCCAGATCTCTTTGTGTTCATTTTATACAGGGCTCACGGGGATAAAACGAAACCCATCAGTGCAACTCTTTACATGGGGAACAAATCAAATACAGTGCAATGGGTTTCTGAGACTTCAGTAGCGTCTTCATGACGAAGTCATGTTCTAGTAAGAAGTTGAAGATATTAAAGATTTTTTAGTGAATGTATGTGCTTATTTGCTAGTTTTTATTAGATCACCAAGCACCTATTGTATCTATTGGCGTTCTTCTCATTTCATTTCTTCTCCTTCTGCTCTGGAAGTGTATGGCACCCCATAGAAGCGCTTGGGGGAAAGTTATGAAATTTGGCACACTGATAGAGGACCGTCTAAACTGTCATCATAGCAAATTTGGAGTCTCTAACTCAATCCCTCTATTTTAAATTGGAATTATACCTTGTTTTGGTAATATGGCATTATATTCATCTATCAAAACTTAGAATGTTCTTTAGAGCCCGACCGATAAAGGATTTTGAAGGCCGATACCAATATTTTTTGGTTTTAAAATCCGATATTCCGATATATCGGCCGATATTTTTTTTAATTTCAGAAACGCGCAACAAAACATTAACAGATTTCCTAACATTAGTTATTTGTAGTTAATTATGAGTTTTAACTAAAATAAAATGATAATCCATTTTAAACACAACAGAACAGACTGATGATAGTGGTATTAGCTAGCTTTGTGGTTAGCTAGTCTATGATGAGCCATAATTTAGCAATGGATTACGTCATACTGCAAATTGTAAAACATACATTTTCTATATAACAGGCCGAGGAGAGATGATGCGTCTCATTGCTAAAACTGTCACGCGCTATTAAAGAAATACTTCAGTCACATTGTCAAAAGTTAAAAGGACAGTCAGTCAACTACACTAACAACGTAACGTAACTATTACAAGCTAATTCCGCTTCACTCTCGGCTTATTTAACAGCAGCAAAACTGGACATGATAGTCACAAATTTTGTCGCTTATTTGAGTTTAGAGAACTGATTGGGATGTTCTTTTAATTGTTATTCAAGCAATGTATGTCTCGTGATCAACTCAATGAGTGTTGCCAACAGGGACGGTGTAGAGCGCCCTCTGGTGGACAAACTATACAACTCCAACACTCATGACATGGTTCAAGCGTGTTTCGTCCGTTTTTATTTTATTTTTGACATTCATTTATCCGCCATTATAACTGCCGATACCGATAGTTTGGAAAATGCCTAATATCGGCCTGCCGATATATCGGTCTTGCTCTAATATTCTTTGTTTTGCTCCTTTCTCTTGAAAAAGACACGTTCAACTGTGCGTCATTCTGTGCTGTCTGTGAACAAGCCTGAAGTTTTAGTATGTCAGTGAATAACTATTTGCTTTATGTAAATTGTCCTGAAAAGATAATAAGCAAATCAGCCAGATTTCCAATATGAAGGTCATAAATGATGTGACGTTCTGTCCACAGGGGTGCGCTACAATGCTCTGTTGACGGTGGATGACTGCTTTGACATGGGGAAACTGGCCTACAATGAGAATGACTACTATCATTCAGTGCTGTGGATGCAGCAGGCGCTGAGACAGATGGACTCGGGAGAAGACGCCAAGACGAGCAAGGCTGATGTTTTAGATTATCTCAGTTACTCTGTCTATCAGATGGGGGATCTGCCACGAGCCATCGAACTCACCCGACGCTTGGTGGCCATCGGTAGGCCATTGTCTCTCTTTCTTGAGTGTGTGATGAATTTTATAATTTAATTAATATCGTTTTTTTTTTTATCCAGTCCTTGATTCTGATTGGTCAATAGCTGTGTTTTATTCCCAATAAAACATGTCTATGACCGCTTCACCCAATACGTTGATTTCACGCAGCCATTATTTTGAAATCGAAAGCGCGGCTCCGGTGGGAAGTAAACTGGAGGTGCCGCCTTTAATCACAGGAGTGTCACGAATGCGTTGGAGTTAGAGATGCACAATATATCGGCCAGCATATCGGTATCGGCCGATATATGTTCATTTTTAATATTATCGGCCTGGTAAGAAAATGTGGCCGATATATTAAAGCCGATAAATAAGGTATTATTCCCTTCAGCTGAGACACTTGTTGAGCTCTGTTTATGATTTTAAATTTCTTCACGAGTAATGCGTGTCCTATGCTGTGTGTACGTGCAGATCCCAGCCACCAGAGGGCAGGAGGAAATCTGCACTACTTTGAGCGTCTGCTCTCGAAGGAGCTGAGGGACATGGGTCGCAGCCAACAGGAGCCCGCGGACGAGAGGCCCATTCAGCTCGACACTTACAAGCGGCCCAAAGACTACCTGCCCGAGAGAGAGGTCTACGAGGCGCTGTGCAGGGGAGAGGGCGTCAAGCTGGTGAGCAATCATGCATGAGGATTCGGTAAATGTGGTTGCTGAATTATTTGCACTTAAAGGAGTAGTTCACTTTTTAAAAAACTTGCTGATAATTTACTCACCCCCATGTCATCCAAGATGTCCACGTCTTTCTTTCTTCAGTCGAAAAGAAATGAAGGTTTTTGATGAAAACATTCCAGGATTTTTCTCCATATAATGGACTTCAATGGGAACCAAATGGTGCAAGGTCCAAAAGACAGTTTCAGTGCAAACTGCAAACTGTTTAAAGGTCTTTAAATGATTCCAGACGATGAATAAGGGTTTTATCAAGCGAAACGATCGCTCATTTAATTAATAAATAATAAAGTTTTAGTTTTATAAGCTCAAATGCTCGCCTTGCTCTGTTCTGTGATGCGCGTTCGTGACTCTCCTGTTCGAACTCGTTCATCAAAATGAACGAGTCTTTTTTCGTGTAATTTGGTTCATTCAACGAATGAAATGAACGAGTTGACTCAGGAAAAGATTCGTTCATTTTGATGAACGAGTTCGAACAGGAGAGTCACGAACACGCATCACAGAACAGAGCAAGGCGAGCATTTGAGCTTATAAAACTAAAACTTTGTCATTATTTTTTTTTAAATGAGTGATCGTTTCGCTTGATCATCGTCTAAAGCCCTTTGAACAGTTTGCAGTCTGCACTGATTGTGTCTTTTTGGACATTGAACCGTTTGGTCCCCATTGAAGTCCATTATATGGAGAAAATCCTGGAATGTTTTCATCAAAAACCTTACTTTCTTTTCGACTGAAGAAAGAAAGACGTGGACATCTTGGATGACATGGGGTGAGTAAATTATCAGCTAAAGTTTTTTTTAAAAGTGAACTACTCCTTAAATAACATCAGCTTACGAAAGCAAAAATGTTAAATGTTGCACTTAAAAGTTTGCACAGTGTCTAAACTGTTTATTGTAAATATATTTATATGTACACTACCTTTCAAATGTTTTGGATCAGTAAGATATCTGAAAAAAAATCTCTCATGCCCTTATTATTATAAATGAATGGAACTGCTTTCTATTTGAATATAGTATAAAACGTAATTTATTTCTGTGATGGCAAAGATACATTTTCAGCAGTCATTCCCCCATGTCATGTGATCCTTCAGAAATCAGTCTAATATGATGATTTAGTGCTTAAAGGGATAGTTCTCCCAAAAATTAAACCTCAGCAACATATTTTTGATAAAATCAGAGATTTGAGTGATCCCTACCACTTCAAAAAGTTCATAAGAAGATTGTAAAACTAATCCATGATTCGAGTTGTTTACTCCCAAAATTTCTGAGGAGAGGCTTTTATTCACATATATGTAGTTTAATGTTTTTCCTTTTTTCAGTTCATTCTCGCCCCATATAATTCCATTTATCTAAACCTAATTTAAAACTTTATAAATTTAAATGATCAAGTTTCGATAAATGAAAATCCCCCTAATAAGCTGTCGGGAAGCTTTATTCATTTAATCTGGATCTCCGCACAGACTCTGAGGAGACGCAGCAGACTGTTCTGCCGTTATCAGGACGGCAACAGGAACCCGCGTCTGTTGCTGAAGCCGATGAAGGAGGAGGATGAGTGGGACAGTCCTCACATCGTCCGCTATCTGGAAGCCCTGTCTGACGAAGAGATCGAGAAGATCAAGGAGTTAGCCAAACCCAAGGTCAGGATGAAACCAGTAGACCAGTTAACAAAGGAATAGTTCATCCAAAAATGATGTAAAGAAAAATCACACAGGCATCCTGATAGTCAACTCTGGCTCAGTGTTGATAGGAATTATACAATAAAGAGATGCTGTAAAACAACAAAACTCTATGAAAACAGTTGATAACCGTATTAATTGAAAACTATTTACTAGCCTTTTGAGCCTAACAGATTTAACGTTTTATCTGTGATTATAATGTATAAAATCTCACTTTTTTGGGTCAATAGAAGATAAAAGTTACTGCACCGTTGTTCTCCTATAGTAAACCCACTAAGCTAAAGACGTCATTCGAAAAGCATTAGCTAATTTAATCTTTAACTTTACCCACTTACATTATTTTCATTGTGAAAACAAACTGAGAAAACAAATCACATTGACATCTGCATTGACAACCTTTCAAGGTTTTCACAGGTTTGCAGTCCATTTCTTTTTTGCCCGTTTATGACATCTAAAACAAACATGTAAAGCTTAAAGGGTTAGTTCACCCAAAAATGAAAATTAAATCATTAATGACTCTCCCTCATCTCGTCCCAAGCCCGTCAGACCTCCGTTCATCTTCAGGACACAGTTTAAGATATTTTAGATTTAGTCCGAGAGCTTTCTATCGCTCCATTGTAAATGTGTGTACGGTACACTGTCCTCGTCCAGAAATGAAATAAAGACATCATCAAAGTAGTCCATGTGACATCAGTGGGTTAGTTACAATGTTTTGAAGCATCGCAAATACATTTAGGTCCAAAAATAACAAAAACTACGACTTTATTCAGCATTGTGTCGTCTTCCAGTTCTGTTGTGGATTCGCATCACATGTGTCTGATAGCTCTAGCCGTTCGCCAGTAAGGTAAACGTTTCTTTTGTAACAGCGAGTTAGACCAATCAGCAGACGTTGCTGCTACGCTTAGGATTGTGGGTAGTGTAGTTTTCTTTCATAAGATCGTGGATATAACATGTTTTTCTTTAACTCTCAGGTGCTCTTTGTTTCGGAGTCACACTTGTTATCTTCCCGGTCAAAAGTGACCGGGCACCTAAAAATTACATTTCCTCCATCCCAGTAAAACCAATGCAATTTATTTTTGTTCTATAATATTTATTCTTTGTAATTTAGTATTTTGAGACAATTTGATTGAATTTATCAATATTTATGGTCTATTTTTGCCATGGAAATGTATATATATATTATTTTTTTCAAAAAATTATTAATGCGGTATTTTAGTTTAATATAGAGTCTAGGCCTTCAGAAAAAAATATTAAGAAATATAATATTATTTTTATAATATTATAGAAATATAATATTAATTTTCTTAATATTAAGAAAATTAGCACCATCTGGTTACAGTATAGAGAAAAAGCGTAGAAACATGGTGTAACCACTAGATGACGTACAGCTCTCTATGGAGAAGCATGTGAATTCCCCAGATGTTTATGAACACTTTTTTTTTTTTTTTTTTTTTGGTGGTGGTGGTGGATTTGAATATATAGTTTAAAAAAAAATCTCAAAAACGATTTTTTATTTAAAAAAAAAAAAGTAAAAATAAAAAAAAAAAAAAATTGTGAATTTTTATGTTTTTGTCAATTTCCCATTCATTTCCAATGGGGGTCATTTTTGACCAAAGACCACAAGTGTGACTATTTTTTTTAAGACCACTTAGCATGCTCAGATCATGAACTCAATTTTTTTTTTGTGTTCACATACATAATGCCATAAAAGTCACCAAGTTTCGTAACATTCCGATGAAGCTGTGATTTTTAAAAATTCAAAACAGAATTTTTTTCCAAATTTATTGGTGTGTAAGTGTATAAAAGTGTGTTTGTATGTGTGTGTGTGTTGGTGGGTGTGTCTGTTTTGCACTCTAGATGTTGTAGAGTGTCACCCCTTTCCTGTGGTGTACTTTTTTTTTTTTTTTTTTTTTAGAATTTTGGCCGATGTGTAGTTTGCACGTACAAAAATTCAGAGAATTTTTTATTTATTTTTTTCAATTTCCCTTTCATTTCCTATGGTTGGTCATTTTTCGGATCATGACCTCAATTTTTTTTGTATTTACATACCCAATGCCATAAAAGTCACCAAGTTTCGTAACATTCCGATGAAGCTGTGATTTCAAAAATTTCAAAAAAAATTTTAGGTCAGAAATGACCGAAGAGCACCTGAGGGTTAAACAAGGTTGATTTCATACAAACTTATAGCTTCAACAGGAGCAAAAACCTTCGTTTCACAACCTCATAGCTCGTGCTCAGTCTACCTCGGATGGTTTAGACATTAGGGCTGATAATCGAAATCCTTATCGAGAAATACTGTCCACCGGAAGTTCTGTATCCCTACTCCGCATTCCAGAAGCAGGAAGTAGGCCTATGCTGAATAAAGTCGCAGTTTTTGGTATTTTTGGACCTAAATGTATTTTCGATGCTTCAACATATTGTAACTAACCCACTTTGATGAGGTCTTTATTTCCTTTCTGGACAAGGACAGTACACCGTACACATATATTTCCAATGGAGGGACAGAAAGCTCTCGGACTAAATCTAAAATATCTTTAGTCATTAATGATATAATTTTCATTTTTGGCTAAACTAACCCTTTAAACTTAAAAGACTCACTTTTACTACTTAATATTTTGTCATTTCAAGTCTGTATGCTGTTATGTTTTCTGTACAACAGTAGCAGTTCATGGTGACCATGTCTGTCGAACTTTTCATTTCCTCTTCACAAAAACTTCGCATTTGCTTACTACTACATGTGACAGTCTATGTCTGCTAGCTATGAATGCTGGGTTTGACTGGAATTAAGATCAACTACTGACGGTTTGGTCTGTTCATCACACATAGAATAAATAAATGAATAGAAAACTTGTTTTTTTTATTTTTGGATGAACTATCCTTTTACATTTTGTAATCTCAGAAACTGAAATATTCTGCATGTTCATCACTTTATTCTGGTTCAGTCTCAAAGCTAATAATGTTTATTGTCTGTAGCTTGCGAGGGCCACCGTGAGAGACCCTAAAACCGGCGTTCTGACAGTTGCCCATTATAGAGTTTCCAAAAGGTGAGCACATCTCATATACATCAGATCATTTAATGGTGTTCATGCCTGGCTTTATTGGAGCATAAGGTGAGGTAACTAGGGCTGGGGGATATGATGATGATAGATCTGCTACCTGATTTTGCCATACCATTTATATTACAATAGATGTCAGTGCTCAAAGTGTATTCTAGCCTGGCCAATCTACAACCAGCAAACAATTTTTGGAAATAGGCTAATAAGAGAGCAGTTTAACCATTTTCCAATCCATTCAGCCGATGTTCTGATATTTAGAAGAATATCAGTAACCAGTTTCTGGTCTCATTGACTTCCATAGTTGAACAAATATTTACTATGGAAGTCAATGGGACCAGAAACTGTCTGGTTACTGATATTTCTTCTAAATGGATTGGAAAAATGGTAAAACAACTGAGGGAGTTGTAAAATGAGCCTATTTCCAAGTCCCTTTAAGATTGTTTAATTAGCAGAGAATGGAAAAGAAGCATGAACTAATGTGAAGATGAGAAGACGATGATCTTGTGCTTAGATACTGATATTTAGAACGACATTGCTCTTGGTCATGGTGATATTGCTGGTTTCTTCATTCAATTTCCAGCAAAATAACCAGATTATGAGACATACCTTTACTGTGATGTAAACAAACAAAAAAAAATCAAGTCTGTGATTTGGTCATTGTGCTCACCCCTATGTAATGCATTAAAGGGCTGATGAACTGAGAAATGAAATTTTTGACATCTAAATGAGCTTTTGAAATCTAAGAGGTCATCATATTATAAGAATATCCTGTAAGTTTCAGAACTGAAAACGTCCTTGTTAGTCCAATAAAAGCTTTTATTGACACCAGCCTCAGCAAACGACTCGTTTTTCAAAGTGGGGAACTATGACGTCAAAGAGGATAAAACCCCACCCCCGCAGAAGAAGATCGACACCTACTTCAACACGGCTGGTTTAGCTCCGCCCACCGATTCGCATAGCTAAATAACATAGATGCCTACCTCGTGATGACAAACCGGTGTGGTGAAGACTAGAGATGGGTCCCACCTTAGGACCCATTAGGTGTTTTATGGGTAATCGCTTTAGTGCCTGGTTACAAATTAGAAAAAAATCACTTTATTATAAGAGACGTTTGAATTACTTTATAACGGGTCATTAATGTATTTTAACTTGTATGTTTCACTAGTATATAACCAAAGCTGTAGATTGTAAATTTAAACATTTCTCGTTCTTAGTGTTTTTTAGTTCGCTTTCATAGTAGATAAAAAATAGATAGTACTTATAGTAAATAAACCACATATTTGAGCTTTAAACAACTACTCTTAAAATTACATTTCATGACACAATAAGAGTAATATTTTTACATTTCGCGGACTTTCTCCTCTGCTGTTGACGCAAACTACTATGAAAAGCGCTAAACAAAATAAACGTATTACTTGATGGCAACAACTGCTTTTATCAAGTTATAGCGGGAGAACATATTTAGATCAGGCATACTATGGGGTCCTAAGGTGGGACCCATCTCTTCAGGGGGACTCATCTCTTCACCACACCGAATCGAGAGTGAAACTCATTATAATATTTATCATGAAAATGTAACTTTTATTATGTATAATATGGTGTTTATTATGTATGTATGTGTTGTGTTTTGGCTGCTACCTTGGCCAGGTCTCTCTTGTAAAAGAGATTCTGAATCTCAATGGGATTTCCTGGTTAAATAAAGGTATAGAATATGCAAAACTGTTATCCACTCACAGCAGTGGGCGTTAACTTTCAAGTCTTCAGTGCGAGACGCCCATAAAAACCGGGCGTTTTTGAGCTGGGCTAGAAAATGGCCTATTACTCATTCGTTTTGATGTTTTTTTTAATGTAATAACTAAGCGATCGTCATGACTTGACCTCAGACAACAATATACATTTTTTTTTTAACCCCTTAACTGTCACCGTCCCGGTACCGGGACACCTAACTTTACTTCACTATATTTCTATTAAATCCTAATCTAATTATGACAAATTATATATCGTTGGAAAGGTGTAAGACTTCTATATTCTACCCCTGTTTTGTGTTAAAAATTATGTAGGAAGAGTAATTGATGAATTTATGACAAGAGTGCACCTCAAAAAATCTGCATCATAACAGGAGTTTTGACCTTTGTCACAAAAAGTCGATGCACCCACTTTTAATCATTGAAACTTCCGTTTTTAGGCTAAATAAAACATATAATCTAGTATTTTTCAATAAAAAATAGAAAATTATAGTATAATATTATCCTCTAAAAATGATAATATTTATATTTATTATCCTCTAAAATATAATATTATTTTTTATCGCCTTTTTATTATATCACATATTTTAGTAGTTATCATAAATTAGGTATCATTTGAAAGCTTATAAACTCAGAATTCATCGTGTGAAAACCGTTTTATAATTGAACATTGCGTTACCATAGAAACGGTACTTATTTTATCAGGCTCCTCCCCTTTTGGGCATCATTATATTTCATAATTTATGATCAAAACCTTTTCTAATCTTGACAAAACTGATATTGTCAGAAATGTCAGAGTCTCAAGGTTCACAAATTTTGTGACAGAATTGATATTTGGACAGAAATGTATTAATTTGTTAAGGCAGAATGTATACAACTAAATTCAAAGGAATTCAATGGCACCCGGTGGCTATTTTTGGTACTACGCCTAAACAAAATCTCATCTGAACTTCAATTTTTGTGATATCAACTTCAAATTTGGAACACAACTTGATAAGATTTATGGCTTTGATTTTATAGAAATTTTAGAGTAAAAAATATTTTGTAAAATATATGTTTTGTATAAAATATATAGTACAGTATATTTGATTTTCTGTCAATTTAAACTTCCATAACTTTTTCATACTTTCATTTTGTGAAGTGTTTTCACTTCAGCAATATTCTGCTGAGTGTTTTCTTTAAAACAAGACCAAACTTGGGTATATATATATTCCAAAGCATTCTTAAATTACAACCATTTAATTTGAATAGTGCATTTTAACCCCCATTCTCAAAAAGGGGGGTGACAGCAAAGAGGTTCCAGTTCATGACCCATATAATAAGTGTACTTGTTTGTAATGAGATTCGGCTGTGCTTTTGTCATTAATGTTTTGTGTTCTGGTGCGTCTACAGCGCGTGGCTAGAAGGAGAAGAAGATCCAGTGATCGCGCGGGTCAATCAGAGAATAGAGGACATCACTGGATTAACGGTGGACACTGCAGAACTGCTACAGGTGATTCGTCCCAAATACTCCACACACACCAGTATAATGTAGAATAATGTGCATTGTAATTATAGAAATACGTGCTGAGTAATATTAGTTAACGTGTACTTGCTATATAATTCGGGTTGGGGTTTGGTTTTAGGCTTGTAATTATCCATAATGTTCTGTTAATACTTTAGTATGTACGTTTAAGATGTGTAAAATAAAGAGTTTCAGAATAAAAAACACAGAAGTTTTCATTTTTTACAGCCTCTCCAGGTATTTAAACACAAATCAAAATCAATGTTTTGGGTTTGATGCATTGCATTGTGGTAAAAGGCACATGATTTGTTTGCTTATGTGATAAGGAATTGCTCTGTTCTGATTGGATAACTGACTCTTCTTATGAATTCGGTTGCATCTTAGGTTGCTAACTATGGTGTTGGAGGTCAATATGAACCACATTATGATTTCTCAAGGGTAAGAACTGCATTTCCTTCAATTATCTGGCATGATATTTCACACCAAAACAATCATGGGCATGTGCGTGAAGAAATATTAGTAAAACATTTCTATTTTAATTCTATTTTTTACTGTCAACTGACGCACTGCATCCATGTCTCACCTTTATCCATAGAACATTTGTCTAGGCCCTTTCCAATCTTAACATTTCATTAGAAATAAATAATGAACAAAGTGAAATGAAATCAGGTGTACGTTAAATTGTTGAGCTCTAATGTTCATTGTGAGCCCCAGAAATGCTTTATTAGGAAGGTTTATTATTATTTTTCGAGTAATTTCACAGGAGTAAGAGTGACGAAGGAACGTTGAGTCGCTTCATTGAAGCTCAATGTATTATGTGTAGTGTATTATGAGAGAGAGATCGACTAAACGAGTGTATTACCTGCATCTGATCAGTGTTGGGTAAGTTACTCTAAAAAAGTAATTAATTACTAGTTACTGATTACCTCTTCAACAGTGTAATTAGATTACTATACTAATTACTCTCTCTAAAAAGCATTTAATTACTTTTAATTACTTTCAAAATCCCATATCAAGCTCAACCAGCTGAATAATACAAGGATAGACATGAATCTGTTTGAATTCTTTCAAATAAATACTATAAAATTGCATGAATTATCCTTAAACTGACCAAGGTGGAGAAGGTTACATTATAAAACATACTTTTTAACATCAGACAATACATTTTGATGTTAAACCCACTATTGTTTTATGTCTGATCTCATGACATTTGACACTTTTTTCATACATATTTTACAATAATTCATATGAATTTGTACGAGTGCGGTCGTACTATTTAGGCACCTCATAAAATGCATACGAATCGCTGTGAGATCGGATTGATCTATACACAGTATTTACCTCAATTACATCAGAAGTAACTAATTAAATTACAGATAAATTAAGACTAATCCCTTACTTTACATTTTCAATGGAAATGTAATTAAATTACAGTAACTAGTTACTTAGTAATTAGTTGCACCCAACACTGCATCTGATACAGCATTCATTCTTCAGGTCGATGTCCATAATATTAAATTCATTACTAAACATCAGTTTGAATTACCAAATCGTATTCCTTGTTTACAACCAGTCTCTCGTTTCCACCATCTAATGGCGTAATAATGTAACATTCACTGACGTCCAACTCACGATCACTAACTGACTCTTTCTCAATACTAAATACGGTAAATTATTTATATCAAATAATCTTTATTGAACAACAATATTTCAAAATGAACAGTAATCGCCATTATAAAAGACAATAGCAAATAAACACAAGAAAACAATTCAGTCAAAACGTACAAAAGCAGCAATCTGCTACAGGATTTAAGTTAAAAAGCCTAAATAAGAAGTTATGAAACTTATTTTTCCCCTTAACCCAGAAAGATTGCCCGTTTAGACCAAAGATTGCCCGTTTGATATTGGCGAAATGAATTCTATCTACATATAATGAGAGGCAGTGGTTAATTCCCGAAGGACTGGCCGAGATGAAGCGGTTCTCTGATGGCCTGGACTGGAGCTCACACCTGCCAAACCGTCTCAAGAGGTGCTATGTTTATATATGAGTCACATATTTGTGGTATAAAATACATTCTTGCCTAAAAAAACTACTAAAACTACATTTTGTGACAGTAGAATTTTTTTTTAAATATGGCAGATTCGCCATGACGGTTGCCTCAAGCGGAGTGATGCAAACAGTGAAACAGTTGCAGTGCTGATACTGATCCAATCAGATTCGAGGAACAGAACGGTTGTATAATGGTGCGTTCACATGGTATAGTAATTATGGTAAATACCAAAAGCCGACGTGTAAAATGCACATGAACACCCCCTCATGTGTTATTTTCCACTGAGCAACTCGTAGAATATTTTGATGCACGAGTTGCCGAGATGAGATAACCTTTGACCTTTTCAAAATAGCGGAGAGCAACGCAATATTCATGATTGAATGGTAAAAATATGTACTATTCATGATCTAGAAAATATACCGCATATCATTTACCGTTTGAGTTTTGATAAATCATTTTCTTGCTGTAGCGGATGACTTAAACAATCTGAAGTAGTTTTAGTTAAATAACAGGTCTGGATCTCCATCTTTTTACCGCATTACGACAACAAAAGCACTTGAACGCAACACCAGTTCACAAGTATCATATTTTCCATAGCACGTGAACGCACCATGAATTACAATAAATAACAGAAGGGTAGAGTATTGCATTTCAAGGAAATGCATATAAAATTTGTATATAAAGTAATTGCCACCCAATACCCTTCGACTTCTTCAAAGTGCTGTATTTCATTTACGATATTTAAAAAAATCTACAAAAGATCCGCTTTCCAACAACGGAGGTTCTCCCAACTAAAAAAAACGACAACAACACAGCTTAAAGGAGTAGTTCACTTTTAAAAAAAACTTTTGCTGATAATTTACTCACCCCCATGTCATCCAAGATGTCCACGTCTTTCTTTCTTCAGTCAAAAAGAAATTAAGGTTTTTAATGAAAACATTCCAGGATTTTCTCCATATAATGGACTTCAATGGGGACCAAACGGTTCAAGGTCCAAATGAGAGTTTCAGTGCAGCTTCAAAGGGCTTTAAACGACACCAGACGATGAATAAGGGTCTTATCAAGCGAAACGATCGCTCGTTTAATAAATAAATAACAAAGTTTAAGTTTTATAAGCTGTGATATGTATTCGTGACTCTCCTGTTCAAACTCATTCATCAAAATGAACTCACCTTTTTCGAGTCATGACTCGAAGTGTCCTTGATAAGACCCTTATTTATCCGGTCTGGTGTCGTTTAAAGCCCTTTGAAGCTGCACTGAAACTGTCTTTTGGACCTTGAACCGTTTGGACCCCATTGAAGTCCATTATATGGAGAAAATCCTGGAACGTTTTCATCAAAAACCTTCATTTCTTTTCGACTGAGGAAAGAAAGACATGGACATCTTGGATGACATGGGGGTGAGGAAATTATCAGCTAAAGTTTTTTTTATTTATTTTTAAAGTGAACTACTCCTTAACAACAAAATGACAGAAATAAATAAAGTCAGTAGCTCAACTGAATCGCAACAGAACTGTGAAGTTTACTGTGTTATTATCGCGGATCACGAACACGCACTCTTCAGTGAGCAGATGTGATGGAGCAAACATTGATCCGCGTCTTCACCGGCTAATAACTCGACTGTCACACGGTGGATGGAGAAAGATCATTTTGAGCAACGATATAGTACATGTAAATAATCATTTTGAAGTTTATGTGGGGATGTAGTGTGTCACTTGATGGCAAAAAAGTGCCTGTGATTTAAATGTTGGAATAGAAGCTTGTGTTATGATGAATGCTGGTGGTAATACGTTTCCTGATCATTTTAATGGGACTTTTTATTGATTGATTGAACTTGAAAGCAGATCTTGTTTTAGATTGAGTACATGTTTGTGAACTGATTTGACACCCAACACTCAGCTTAGCATATGAAGTGTACAGTAAGTCGCCCCCGAGGCAGAGATATTCCCCCGCTGCACTTCAGTCTGCTTTAAAAGTTACACACGTCTGTTGCAGCGTCCTTTTGACAGCAACCTCAAGGTTGATGGAAATAGACTTGCCACCTTTCTGAACTACGTAAGTACATGTGTGTGCGCTCGGAGACGAGCGTTTCTTGCCTCTCTGCCTGTCTTTACTCTAAAATTTTATCTTCATAGAAAGATGAACCTGATGCTTTCAAATCATTAGGCACTGGAAATCGTGTGGCTACTTTTTTAAATTATGTAAGTATGTGTATCTTGTGGTGCCTGCTTCCAGAACTCATGTGTCATGTGATTACACTTCTTGACTTGGCATCAGGTATTGTGTCATTGGCTACTATGGATCCACATGAACACACACACACACAACACACAACACCAGTGGATCTCAGCCAGGCAGTGTTGTAGTCGAGACCACCTCACTCGAGTCCGAGTCAAGACCGAGACCAGTGAGGGTTGATTACCTAATTTACTTTTATTTACTTAGCGAAATCCTTTTTTTTTCTTACTGAATTTACTCAGAGTTAAAAAAATATGATCAGTTTAGGGTAAAAAGGCCACATAGTAGGTGGTGTTAAAAGTAATTTTATTACAATTGGTCATGCGCAGTTGCGCACTAGAAAATCACCAATCACTGGGCGTGTCAATCAATTTAAAGAAATACTTTATTAACAAACATTAATAATCATGAAAAATCGGGACTCGGGAATAAGTCTGAGTCCTAAAAAAAAATGTTCGAGTACGAGTCAATTCCGAGTCCAAATGCACACGAGTCCATGACAAGACCAAGACCATTAAAATATGGTCTCGAGACGAGTCCGAGTCTCGAGTACTACTACACTGCAGCCAGGGACACAAAACAAGCATTAATAATTTCAACATCTGCAAATTTTGATATTTCGATGGCCCACTTTAGACATTCTTCTAAAATATAAGTAACCTGTCAACTAACTCTCATTATACCATGGTCTGGGTGAATACTCGATTCTGATTGGCTGGAGGGTGTCCGTTAAAAAGTGATAGAGGACACCTAGTAAAGTAGTTCTGGTGAAACTGCCTGTTTACCATTCGAAATTAATAAATAAATGCGCTGCCCACAACAGCTGCGAGTAACCATAGCAACAGGCAGTCAAAGTATCCGTTAACAATTTGCAATCAAAACAAACATCTAACGTTAGTTAGATACATAGCCTACTACTATAACAATGAGCGACTTCGTTATTTCTTTTAACATTTATGGAGAATATGACAACTTTACGACTGGGATGCTGCTGAAGAAAGAAAAAATGTAAATAAAACGGAGAAACGTCGCAAAGAAAATGACACCGCTGCTACTCTGAATGAGACCCTGCGGGAGTTTTACACAGCAGTCAGGAGGAGAGTACAGCGTTTCAAGCCTAAGAAGCCTGTTTGATTAATTGTTTTATGTGTAATAAAACAAAAAATAACTATGCCTACCTTTGTGTTTCATGAAAAAAAAAAAGCATTTTTGAACCTGAAGGGTTCTACAAGCTGAGCGGACTATAGATATCTCCGGTTGCTAAATAAACCAGGCGAGTTATTATTTGTAAAAACTTGATTTAGCCTAATTAAAATATAAACTAGCAGCTAATGTTTTAAAAATGTTTTATTTGGCAAGTGACCATGGTATAAGCGGGTTAATGCCCTTCGAGGTGTCCATTGTCAGGTTTTAATCGGCCGGTTCACGCCTCACCGTCCTGACAATGGACACCTCGTCGGGCATTAACCCTTACTTAGAGTATTAGTACTGTTGGTAGACACTGAAACTCTGATGACATGCCATGTTGTGATGTTAATAAGCTTTCTATGTTACAGATGAGTGATGTTGAGGCAGGGGGAGCGACGGTTTTCCCGGATTTCGGTGCTGCTATCTGGCCTAGAAAGGTACAGACACCAAACCTTAAAGGGATACTCCACTTTTTTTGGAAATAGGCTCATTTTACCACTCTCCCAGAGTTAAACAGTCGGGTTTTACCGTTTTCAAATCCATTCTGCCGATTTTCTGATATTTAGAAGAATATCAGTAACCAGACAGTTTCTGGTCTCATTGACTTCCATAGTATATTTTTTTCCTACTATGGAAGTCAATGAGACCAGAAACTGTCTGGTTACTGATATTCTTCTAAATATATATATATAAAAAAAACGGCTGAACACATTCAAAAACGGTAAAACCCAACTGTTTAACTCTGGGGGAGTGGTAAAATGAGCCTATTTCCAAAAAAGTGGAGTATCGCTTTAACATGGGGGTGTATGGGATTGACTCTCTCCTGCAGCCGGTTGATGAACTGCAGTTTAAGTCACTCAGTCTCAGTGTTGGTTTCAAGAGAGAGACCGGAAGATTGCCGCTGGATTTGAACTCCTATCCTCCTCTTTCTCTAGGGAACAGCGGTCTTCTGGTACAACCTCTTTAAAAGTGGAGAAGGAGACTACAGAACGAGACACGCAGCCTGTCCTGTTCTGGTAGGCAGTAAATGGGGTAAGTGGAATGAACACACACACACACCGGCAATGCTCATTAACAGGTTGCTGTTCAATTACTTTTTAATTGCAAAAATGTTCATTTTATTGTATTGTAGTTAAACTAATTTTAATCTAACATGGCATGAAAGGTGGGTTGTTTTAAAGCCTTCGCATTCACAAGTTCCTCTCATTTGTCAGTTTCAAACAAATGGATCCACGAGAGAGGGCAAGAGTTCAGACGACCGTGTGGCCTGACTGAAGTGGACTGATCCGGTGACCGCTCAGTCCTACCGCCTGTGCCTGTGCACACGGACACAATCACACACTCCGGAACGTGCATCGGATCCAGTCAGGACTCACTGCTATGAGACATGATGAGCAGCGCTTGATCGGGAGATCTGTGTGTTAAGGGTTTCTCTTTTATTTGACGTTCCTTTTATTTGAACTTTCTCGGCAGATTTAACAGGAGAATCACGTCATAGAAGTCATTGTGTTCATGTAATGCATAAATTATTGTTTTTCAGTGTTTATTTTGTATTATTTTGCAATAAAAATATCTAAATTTTAAGTTATGCTTCTATGTCCATTTTTTATGGAAATTTTGGTAACGCTTCCTTTTACAGTCCAGTTACCCATGTAAATACTATGTAGGCTACTTATTTTAGTCACTACAATTAATAGCTAGTACTAACCCTAAACCTACCCCTGTTCCATGTACTTGCCTTATATTAGCCAGTACTTTCTAGGTAAGTACACTGTAAGTACTGTACTGTAAAAGGAAGCGTTACCCAAATTTTCCTTAGACATTTTAATGCTGTATACAACCCTCACTGAAAACTTTCTGCATTTTCACACACACAAACACATTTATACGAGCACTGTTCATATTTAATTTTTTTTATGACATTTTGTTCAGTACAATATTATAGTCTTTAGAATTCAAGTGAATATAAACCAGGAATTTTGAAACGACTCGTGTCAAGCCTAGCGTCTGTAATGATCTGATTTGGTAATGTTTTTACTGTAAACACACCTGACCACAGCTCTTTCAACATGAAAACCTCAATGTGTAACTCTCCAGATATCTATCTAACCTGTCATTGTAAGCGTGGGGCTAATCATAGGAGATTATTGAGTCAGACAATAACACAATTAGCTGTAATCTGTTTTTAAAAAGGTGTTTTTAAAAAAGGTGTGACTTAACTCGATCCACATTGCATCATTACAGCATAGAGACCAGTTTAGCCTGGAACAGAACCAGTCTGGACATTCAGCTCAACTAACGGCTCGAGATGGAAGCAAAGTCGGTTGTTTTGTTGTTATCAACGGTCTGGATTGCCTGTGTCGCTGTAAATGAATTCTACTCTTCAACAGGTTAGTCCATCGCAATAAGATGACGTGAACACTTTATTTTGATGTTCTGGTGACTATAAGGATATTTGTGACAACCCGAACAGTCAATTAATACTCTAATGAGAGTTAATAGACATGTGGGTGCACGTGCTCGGTTGCAATCAACAGAATGTTAAAGGGACCGTTTAAATAAAGTGAATCTAGGATGTCGAAAACACTTCTCTCTTCAATCATGTATGTTTTTGAACAAGTGCTAACTGTCGTGATATCCTTTCTGTAGATCATATGATTCAACTTATAGATATCGAAAAAAGGTTTGCCACATCCCTTCATGAATATATAGAAGAGCTGGAGCGCCAAGCAGAACTTCTGAAGAGGTACGGTAAGTTTATGCGTGTGTGATAGTGTATAAAGATATAGAGCAGAGCAGAACATAAAAAGAGCCGCAAACAACTTTATTTTAGTAGTATTACACAGAAAAGGTTTAAAGAAGAATCTTAGATCCAGTGGAGACAGGTATGAAGAGAGGAGAGTGTGAAGAGTGCAGAGATTTAGCTTGCTAAACGTTAAATCACGTTAAAGGGATAGTTCACGTTGAAATTATTTTTTGGTAGGCTGTGTTTTAGCTTACCTCAAGGGCATCCAAGATGTAGGTGTCTTTGTTTCCACAGTATTTTCAATTTTGATATTTTTAGGTCAAACCATTCTTGTCTGTCAGTCATATAATGGAGGTCTATGGTCACCACCTTAAAGAGCATGCACAGAGAAGTCCAAATTAAACATGATTTAATGACTCGTAAATGTAAGTACACATTGATGGACTAAGACACGAAACGAGCGGTTTGTGTGAGAAAATGAACAAGTGTTCTTTGAGGTGGTGACCATAGACCTCTATTATATGACTGACAGACAACAACGGTTTGACCTAAAAATATCAAAATTGAAACTACTGCGGAAACAAAGACACCTACATCTTGGATGTCCTTGAGGAAAGATAAAACATACCAAAAACGTATTTCAAAGTGAACTATCCCTTTAATTAAATATGGTGCATTTAATTTAGTTTAGTGTCTGTTAATTATCTGCAAGTTATGGTGATGCACACTGCGCACAAATGCTGTGTTTTCTCTTAATTTTTTACCACAGTTTGTTTGCACATTTTAAAATATTTTTTATTATTGTTATCATTTATTTCTCAGGATTCTGAATGCCTTTGTGAGTGACTTTGATGACACTCCTAAAGACCCAGAGAAATTCGTCAGCAACCCTCTTGCGGCGTACCGGCTTGTGCGGAAGCTGAGTCGAGTCTGGCCGAACACACTGGACCTCATCGAAGGAAGACACGCTAAAGGTCGAAGCACAACTGTAGTTATTCACAATATATCATCCAGTCAGACACTGGAATTACTCCTAACTAACTTTTGATTATGATATGAATTATTGATCACACTTTAGATTAGCATCCAATTCTCACCATTGACTTTTGCCTCAATAAACTCTTAAATACTGCATATTATTATTAGTTAGTAAGGTACAATAGTTGTTAGTTGTTTTCTGAACGTGCTTTAAAGGTCGAGGTCACAGTCAATAACATCTCTAATTTCTCACAGATGTGTTGGAAGACCTGAAATCTTGCGCTCAGACTCTCCCCAGCGCAGATGATGTAGAAGGAGTGGTGATGGCTTTGGTTAGACTGCAAGACATGTACAGATTAGATCCAAGGAGCATCATGTTATTTTCTGGTGCGTTTCATGGTGCTTTTCTTTGTTCTTTATCACTCTCCTGATTAGTGCTAAGGTTTGCTTAGTGATTTGAACAAACCCCTAACCATAAGTATATCACTGTAACACTATAAAGCAAAACTGCCAGATTTTTACAAAAAAAAAAAATTGTATCACCCAGTGATAAACTTTATTATTATTATTTATTTTTATCACTTTATTATCACCCAGTTCTTTATATAAAGTTAAAGTATTCTTGCATAGAGCTCATCTCAACTGCTTGATTGCTTGTATTGTTGCAAAATGTAAACCATATTTTCACCCAGCTCTAATCAGCTAAATGCGACAGATAAATCAGATAAAAGGAGTAGTTCACTTTAAAAAAAAAAAAAACTTTTGCTGATAATTTACTCACCCCCATGTCATCCAAAATTTCCATGTCTTTCTTTCTTCAGTCGAAAAGAAAGTAAGGTTTTTGATGAAAACATTCCAGGATTTTTCTCCATATAATGGACTTCAATGGGGTCCAAACGGTTCAAGGTCCAAATGACAGTTTCAGTGCAAACTGTTCAAAGGGCTTTAAACGACACATAAGGGTCTTATCAAGCAAAACGATCGCTCATTTAAAAAAAAAGTTTAAGTTTTATAAGCTCAAATGCTCGCCTTGCTCTGTTCTGTGACGCGCGTTCGTGACTCTCCTGTTCAAACTCGTTCATCAAAATGAACAAATCTTTTTCCGAGTCAACTCGTTCGTTTTGTTCGTTGAATGAACCAAATGACATGAAAAAAGATTTGTTCATTTTGATGAACGAGTTTGAACAGGAGAGTCCCGAACTCGCATCGCAGAACAGAGCAAGGCGAGCATTTGAGCTTATAAAACTTAAACTTTGTTATTTATTAATTAAATGAGCGATCGTTTCGCTAGATAAGACCCTTGTTTATCGGCTGGTGTCGTTTAAAGCCCTTTGAACAGTTTGCACTGAAACTGTTTTGGACCTTGAACCGTTTGGTTCCCTCTGAAGTGCATTATATGGAGAAAATCCTGGAATGTTTTCATCAAAAACCTTAATTTTTTTTTGACTGAAGAAAGAATGACATGGACATCTTGGATGAAGTTTTTTTTTAAAGTGAACTACTCCTTTAAAGGTGCTGTGTGACCACTAAAGCATAAAAGTACCATGTTTGCAGAGATTTAGGAAACATGCTCACATACTTATTTCTCTAAAAAAACATTTCTACTGCCAGTTATTCTGTTCTCTTATTCCCTGTTATTATTTTGATCAGTGTGATTCAGCCCACTGCCAATTTACCCAATAGTAAAGGTCCTTGCACGCTCATTTTCAATTCTCAGTCGAAATTTTCGGACATTAAAAAACACAACTTCACGATGTGTCAATCATGTTTACACAGTTCAACTTTCTGTGTTTTTCACATGCTTAGCAAGCCTTTTGAAAGGATTTTTGACAATTCAGAGCCACCGAATGACGAATACGAAAAAACACACACAAAATTTTCAGGCAAGGACCTTAACACAGGGTATTGCAGCCATGGAACCCAGCAAACAAACCTCTTTACCTAAAAGCCTCGGCACCCGCCTAAAAATCTCTATGAATGGGAGCATATTAAAACAGATACATCAACTTAACAACTTACAAGTAGAGCCAGACCGATATATATCGGCAGGCCGATAGTATCGGCCGATATTAGGCATTTTCCAAACTATCGGTATCGGCAGTCATAATGGCCAATAAATGAATATTTTAAAAATAAAATAAAAATGGACGAAATAAGCTTGAACCATGTCATGAGTGTTGGAGTTGTATAGTTTGTCCACCAGAGGGCACTTTATACAGTCCCTGTTAACCACAAAGCTAGCTAATGCCGCTATCAACAGTGGAAGACCACTAACGTTAACATTAATGAGCTTTGGTTCCTCTGTTCTGTTGCGACAATAAAAGAAACAAGTTTCTTTTTAAAATGCATTATCATATTATTTTAGTTAAAACTCATACATAACTACAAATAACTAATGTTAGGGAAATCTGTTAATGTTTTGTTGCGCGTTTCTGAAAAAAAAAATATATATATATATATCAGCCGATATATCGGAATATTGGATTTTAAAACCAACAAATATTTGTAACGGTATCGGCCTTCAAAATCCTTTATCGGTCGGGCTCTACTTACAAGTGTGTATATCTCCTCCATTGTCAGTTGCACTCGCTCATGTTGTTTGTCCTAAATCTGGAAACCCGCGTCAGCATCGAGTCTCAGGAGGAAGGCCGGGAAAACCAACCCACTCCAATACATTGTAATTTGAACTGCAGTAGTAATTCCAATGCGATAGCTGTCAATCTTATGATTTTTAGTAAAGCCGCCTTTATATTGTGGAAAATCCCATATGGAGTCATATTTAGAGACCAGAACAGAGGCACTTTTCATCAAACCACCCTTGGCAACCACACACATTGCCATCATAAAAAAAAATCTTGTTCAGTTTGTACTCTGAGGGTTTTAGTGACGTCAACTTGATGTGTGGCTTTTCAGAAACCAACCACAACTTAAGACTAGATCCAGATGAAACGTTCCAAATCGGCACGATCTCTTCTCTCAATCGACGCTTTCAGTATGCCCTCCTCTGGATGGAAGAAACCTTCAGCAAACTCAGTCAGGACGAGGAAGCCGTTGTTACTGAAGAGGAGGTTCTTTTCCAGCTTGCTTCGTTTTCCCATCAGATCCAGCTGTCATCTGGGCGAGGTGAGGAGTTAACAAGCACGGAAATTCATTCAGAGATCTACCTCTTTAGCTCAGAAAAAAATCATGATAATATGAAAGTATAAACATATAAATTGTACTACTATATTTAATACCTGCGTGTAATTAGAACTCTAATTAATTAGCAAATTATCTCTAAAGAAATATTAATAATCATAACTTGTTACAATTAATTATTAATATTTTATTTAGTTAATAGAATTAACTTAAAGCCTCAATCGTTCTTCCTCTTTGTCGCCATCTCTGTTCGAAATCTACAATTGCAGTCTTTCGCGGAATTATAAACTTTACGTGAGTTGTGCCTCGGCACGGCACAGCACGGATGAACACACTGATGGAGGAGAGTGTGTGTGTGTCAGTCGCCGCCGGTGTGGATATTGGCATTCAGAATCACAGATTATTCTTTTTGGAAGTGGGACCAACATAAGAATTGTCACTAGAAAATGTCGTCTGAACTAGTAAGAGTAACATCCCCTTTTGTTCTGGTTCTGACATCTCAGTAAATCGCGCTGATTAAATCAATCGCTTATAAGTTATCATATCAACGCAAAACCGTGCAAATTATACTTTGTTCTCAAATTGTTAATGTTAACAATGTCAGCATTGCGTGATTACGTGTCTCTTTTTTTCTGTCGCCACTCCGAAGTCCGAACGAAGTCTCCTGAATGTACTGGCGATTGTCGTTTGAACCTTTCTGGATTCGCCATCAAATTTAATTCAATTTAATTATATCAAGTGCTGTGAGAAAAGGCTATACTAGACGCTATGGCTTATACTAGCCGAGACTCCTCCTTTATATGTACAGATGTGTGTGCGTACAGATGTGTTTGTGTACAGATGTGACGTAATGACGCAAAGACACACTCGAATCTCCCGCGTAAATCCACTATTACAACTGGAACTAAAAACATTATTACAAGCTTACCGCTTTGAATCGAGCTGCGGCAAGCAGAGAGCCTTGAACACTGGCTGCTTATGTATTTTCTCAAATATGTATTTTGGATAATTTTTAACCCCTTTAATGTAATTGAATTTATATTATAATCAATTAACCTGCTTGTCTCGTGAACACTCAGTGTTAATTGGTTATTAATTCTAAGAAATTATAATTTCCGTGGCATGGGACATGTCTTTCTTGCTGTACAGTACTACTAAGATTCAAAATCTACATGATTAGGGACTCCAGTATATGAGCATGAAACACGGACAACCTTATGTGTGACATGAACAAAACTTTATTAACTATACACTAAACACTTAAACTACTCTAAACTGCTACTCTTCTTTAAAAGGGGTAATGATACTTAATGTATCAAATAATGAGACTAAGTTTGATACTTGCATGTCTCGTCCATTTGAATTAAACTGTCCTGATGCATTTTGTTGAGGCTCGAGTTGATCTTTGCTGATGTGGTCTTGATGAGAGAGAACCAGTGGGAGTCAGAGGATCTTTGGTGAATGGAAAGACAAGGCCTCAGCCTGGAACAAGCTTGGGGGCAGTAGTGGTTCTAGGCACGGGCGAACCGGGCAGTCGCCCGGGGCGGCATTTCTTCATGTCACATGGGGGGCGGCACGCACGAGCAGTTAAGCCTTGTTCACACTACGTGATTTTAAGCCCGATTTAAGCCCGATTTGCAAATCGTTGAGTCGCGACAAGTCAGGGTGTTATCGCGTGCAAATCGCGGGCGATTAGCGGACGATTAACGCTCGCCAATCCGTTAGTGTGAAAGAGCCAACAACGCATCAAAGACAGCTCGCAGACACCTCGCAGACAGGTCACCGAGCTCAGAAAAATATCTAGCCTGCTAGATATCTCGAGCAGTCGCGCGATTCAATCTCAGTGATGTCATGAGTACAGCCAATCATAGCAACGCATGGGTTGAGGACACCAGGTAAATCTTACTTTTTCTTTTTTGCATTTTTTTTTCTCAGAGCAGATCGTCGAGCAAACAGTGTGCAGCACTAGTTTCTGTCTGATGTCCATATTCGCGTGTTGTGTTCTTCTCTGCAGTTTCGCGTCATTTCTGGTTCGTTTTATTGCGTGGTTTTTCGTGACAAAACATGGTTTCTAGACCAGATAGAATCGTGTTGTTGTCAACTCGTTATTTGTTTGATTATTTTCAGGATTTAGACCGTACTATAGTACTGAAACAGCTCTCATTGAGTCACAAATGATATGCTCTTATCATCCGATCGTGGTTGTATCTCTGTGTAGTGCGTTGTTAACTCGTGTAGTGAGTTACCTCCTGTTGTGGATCAATCACGTTGTGTTGTGTGGTGTGAACAGCTAAACAACTTGAACACTCATGATTTCACTGAGAGCAAGTCATGTAGTGTGAACTGCACAGTTCAGCCCGACATTTTAAAATCATGTAGTGTGAACTAGGCTTTAAAAAATCCTCTGTGCCTCGAAGGTTTTCTATTTTTTTACCATTTCGATTCAATTATTGGCAATGGCGCCCCTAATTGCTGAGAAGGTGCCGTGCACAGAAGCGATGTCAAGGGGGTCTCCTGATTAGTTCACGTATTGCGTCTTTTGCGCGCTCGAGGTCGTTATTTCAAATAGCCGATTAGGCGCACGGGAAGCGCGCTCATTATGCGCTCGCGGGAGGCGCGCTCATAAACTTTTCAGTATGGGAGTGCTCATGCACTCAAACACTTGGGTGTTTTTTCTCTTCTTTTCTCTTCTTTCTCTTTGTTTTTTCTAGCAGAGCTTCAGCAAGCGTTTTTCTGTGCAAATACATTAGCTACTAAAACTTGTTTTTCATTGTGGAGAGCCCAGTGCATGGTTCTATAGCAACGACAGCCATGGGCAAATCGGTCCGAATTTTACTATTAATAATAAAAGATAAGCTACTGTGCATTATAAATGTCAGGAATGTATCTTTATTGACTCATTCTTTTTATAGAGATGATTGAATGCTGAAATATGAGGTATATATTTTTATAAAATCTCTTTTTGTGTTAACCTTTTTTTAAGTTTATTAGGTAAGATAAAAGACACTCCTTTAAAACAAATCTTTAATGTTATTAACTTGGTGAATTGATTGTGTATTAGGCTTTTTGTGTATGTGATCATGTTGGTCACTATATTCATGAAATGAAAATAATTTATGTAATGATCAACTTTGTCTTTTTACAGTAGCCTATATGCAAAGTACAATTTTCTATTTTCTAACATTTTAAGAGTGACATAGGGCTACAAAAGCTATTTTAGGTCTATAACAGTTTGGATAGTGTTTAATATGAGAGCTGTTCAAAATTATTTAAGAGATAAGAGATAAGTATCTCTCAGACCCTTTTACTTTTAAAAACTCCATTTCGTGACAAATATTGTTTAACAAGCCATAACTAAAAGTGTGCCATGCATATAATTTAAGGCAATAACCAATGCGCTAATGGTTACTTCCTCTCTTTAAAGTTAGATTAAACTAGCAAAATAACTGGATTCTATTAACTTGTGTTTTTCAAATGAACGGTATGTGATTTTATTGTTGGGTGGTTGTTGTTGTTTTTTTTTGTGTTTTTTTTTTTTGGGGGGCGCTCGAAGGGGGTCTCGCCCTGGGTGTAATTCAGAGTAGAACCGCCACTGCTTGGGGGTCCTTAGAAAACTTCTGGTTCAACATCATCTTCACTTTAGGACTTCAGAATAGAACAACCAACAGATGTGATCTTGTGATCAGGGATTTTAAAGTGTAAAGATGTCACACCCTCTGGAGGTGTGTGAGCCAATAATAAGTTATAACAAGTGGCAATATATAGGAATTAATATATGTTTCCACAGACCTTTGTTGGCAGATTGAGTTTGCTGGATTATTCAATAAATATAATGAATTATTTGTGTGTTGTCCAGATGTTACACATCTAGGATTACACTGGTGACACTTCCTTTACCCGCAAAAGCGTTTTGCAATACAACATGAACACATTTTTTTTTTTTGCACAGTAGCCTAAGTAAAGACTCACATCCTGATTTTGTAGAGTTAGACGTATTCCTGGGTCAACATATTTTGTTGATTCTTGAACAACCTTCCTCTTCAAAAATCCGTAACATATCCTTACCCCTGAACCCAACCTTGCCCGTTAGTTATCCCAACAACAGAGGAAAATTCAAAAACGGGCGAGACATGCAAGATGTTGGTTGATTGTAATGTTGTTCAGGGATCAACAAATATGTTGTACTTGGTAAAATCATGTTCTGTGGTAAAGACACCTAAAATAACCAGATCTGTAAAGGTTTCTCTTTGTGAGCTTAGGTTTGGGGCGACTGAAATGCCAACCCGATCTCACGACCAAGTCGTACGAATTTGACGAATGATTAAAAAGGGGCTAATTCGTATGAATTCATACGACCTCACTCGTACGAATTAGTACGATTTTGCTTAATTGTGCATATTTTACGAATTGACCAATTCATATAAATTCGTACGAATGACCTACCCCTTACCCCGCCCCTAAACCTACCCATCACGTGAGTTTAGACAAATCGTACGAATTCGTACGAAGAATTAGCCTCTTTTTAATCATATGTCGAATTCGTACGAATTGGTCATGAGATAGGGTAGGAAATGCAACTTCATGCGCGGAGAGGTTCTTGGATTCCAGAGACACTGTAGCAACTTCAACTACCTGTTTGCTGCTCAACGGTGGCTTTTTCATAACTTGTTTGACAGAAACTTTCCCAAATAATTATCTAACCAAGTTCTTATGTGCTCTAAATTACTCGCAAATCTTATGTCAGTTCAATAATCTCTAGTTTTCTCTAAATATTAGGCTAATTGTTTTTTAAATGTTTAAAATGTTTTTTAATTGCTACATGTTGGGGATAACCTCCGATACACAGTGTGCATTGACAATTATTACCAAAGGTTAAATGAAGATCACTTGAAACCAATGCACTAATTCACTCTCAATTATAATGCATCTAATTTGCAATTGTTCTTAGACCCCACAGAAGGAGATCTTCAGCCTGCACTTTACAAAAACATAAAAAAGAGCATTAAGACCTGGACTGCAAAATACATCCCTCATTTTGACTCACCTGTTCACGACATGAACACAGCATATGAGGCTCTATGCACAGGCAAGAGGGTTATGATGGTGAGTATAAAAGTGCCTGTTTATATATTCATAATTATTTATAATCCTTGTTATTAAAAAAAGACAGATAGATAGATAGATAGATAGATAGATAGATAGATAGATAGATAGATGGATAGATAGTGTGTACAAATTCAAGGGCTATGTATTTCCTTTGTTGGGTGATTTAAATATTTAGGTTATAATTGATCATAATTAGTTATGATTACCTGTGTATATATTTCCCTTTTGAGCTCATTTGCAGTCAAGCAATCCTTGTTGTAGTTGAAACATTAAAGAACAGAAGCAGCACATAAACTACAAATACTTGTATTTTAATTAATATAAAAACGATGTAGCTTCTGGATAATGATTTCATGAAATTTAAAAACTCCATTAATGAGAGTATTTCATCTAAATGTGTATATCAGATGTAAAACAGAGTTTAAATCGCTTTGTTTGATTTATTACTTCGCTCACTCCAGCATGTTTCGTATGTGTCCATGTCTTCACATATTTACACCTATTTTTTTATTTTATTTTTATAAATCCTGATTTGTGCATGGAAAATTGTAACGTTTACATATCAGGTCCCAGGAGTTTGCACTAGGGAAAGTGTTGTTTTTCATATGCAGAAAAAAAGGACAAGGCAGAGACCACATCCTGAATGGAGAATAGGAGGCCGTCCAGAGTTTGCCAAAGGAATGGCATCCACAATCCAGTGGGCGTCGGGCGATCCTCTGTTTGGAGACAGCCTTCCCCATCTGTTTTCCCTCAAAACAGACAAAAGCTGCTTAGAGCATCTGAAGCTCTCTGTGCGGTCCAAATAAATGCACAGGGCACCTGTTGGACACAGCAGGGATAAGGCTGGGTCTGCCTTAATGCGATGCCTGGATGCCAGCCCCAACCCCGCCCACAACATATTTTGGTCGGGAAGTTCGGTCTGGACTCGATCCATTGAGGAGTAATTATGATCAGTCAAAAAATTATCGGGCCAATCAAATTGCCAGGGCGGGCTTTATACGATGATGGACAGATGATCTGCAGGGACGTAATCATCACGTTATCAAAGAGCGCTTGTCAAAGATGACTGCAGCTGGAGAATTGAGATGTATAGATTCTGTTGTAAAATAAATCGACAGCGCATTAATTTTAATAGACAAACAGAGAACTGCAATCAAGGCATTTGCCGATCGGAAATATATTTTTGGCGTCCTTCCTACATGATTCGGGAAAAGTGTAACTTATCAGCTGGTCGCTAAGAAGATGGGACGTAATAAAAAGCCTGTGGTCGTTGTGGTTTCTCCTTTGGTCGCACTCATGGATGACCAAGTAAAAGACGCAACACTCGTTATTTACTTCTAAAATAAGTAAGTTCTGTGGACAACTGTGCTATGCAAAGGAGTTGACTTACTGCGTTGCTCTGTTTGGTTGTAGGTCTACCGACTATCCAATTGAGTGCAGAGGTTTTTTCCCCTGGTTCGGTTAAGACACGCCTCATAATCAAAGCCCTATGGAGCAGTTTCAGACTCACATTCAGACTAGAATATGAGTATGACGAAGTCAGGCTATTAATACGAGGGAGTGCTTGCAAGATCACCACATGATCCCTGAGAGGGGTAGTGGCAGAATTGTTCACATAGCCAAGCTGGAATCTCAGGACCAAAGTCAAGGCAAGTCCCCAACAAGGCACATATCAGTAAAAGAGAGTGCTTGCAGGTCCCCAGCCCTCTTGATGGAAGTAAGTGCAGTCAGGACGGGCATCTTTAAATAGCTCAATTGACTCCAAGGCCTCAAATGTAGGGCCAGAAGGACCAGTCTCAGAGGATTTAGCATCCTCACACCTCTGAGGAACCTAATGATCAGGCCGTGCTTTTCCGAAGGACATACAGTCTACTCTCTCATCATGTGCCGCTGGGATGGAAGGGGATAACCGCCTTTCCAGCCTTTTCTGCAGGAAAGAAAGCACTGACCCAACGGCAGATCTCCGTGGGTCTTCGTCTCAGGAAGAGCACCAACTAGCAAAAAGACACCAATTCAAAGCATACAGCCACATCGTAGAGAGGGCTCTGGCTCTGAGTGCTAGTGTCTGTCACTGTGGAGGTTCCAGAAGTCTAGGCATGAGTGCCAGATTGTGTCCCTGCAAAAGGATTTCCTTCCTGAAGGAAATTCGCCAGGGAAGGGCTGAGTCAAGAAGCATGAGCTCCGAGAACCACCTCCGGGTAAGCCAGAAAAGGCACAACCAGCAAGACTTGCTCACTGTCCTCCCTGACTTTCAGGCAGCTCAGCACTGACTGGGTGCACCCCATCGTGAGACATGTTGTGACTGAGTCCAACTCCATACCAAGAAAGGAGATGGTCTGCACCAGGGATCGCCTTTTCTGAAGCCCCAACTGGCTGAGGTTTGAGCACCAGATCCTTGTGTGCACACAATAGGTCATGATTGTGGATTAGAATTAATAATTCGTCAAGATAATGTAGAATGCGAATGCCCACTTTCCTTAGCGGGGCAAGGGCAGCCTTTGTGACTTTCGTGAAGATGCAAGGTGACAGGGACAGCCTGAAGGGGAGGACCTTGCACTGATATGATCGTCCATCTCAGGCAAATCATACGAATGGTCTTGTGTTGAGGTAAAATCGTGACCTAAAAGTATGGGTCCTTCAGGTCTATCGCCACGAACAAATCTTGATGTGCACAGGAGGGGCACCAAGGGGACAAACGTTATTGACTTACCTGTGTTGGGTGACTCGCAGTGAGAGGTTGCCATGTTGGGAGGCTTTGCATCCCAATCTAGTGACCATAGCCATAGAGCTGTTAAAACACCCAGCTCACTCCAAGACCCCGCAATGGAATTGGTCTGCGACTGTTAGGGAGGCTGTGCGCCTGCAATGGGCAGATGGGATTCGGGACCTCAGAAGCCAAGAGAATTCCTGGACAGTGTCGCCAAAGAGGCCAACTTGGGAGACGGTACACACATCTCTCATCTTTGCAAGGTTAAGCCAAAGATGGTGCTGCCCCAGAGTCTGTGCAGTCAGTCACCGAGCACATATCCTGCATCAGCCCTTGGTCAGGACTACCTTGGGGCGGCAGTGGCTCAGTGGTTCATGTCCGGAAGGTTGGTGGTTCAATCCACCTGACCAAGTGTCGAGGTGTCCATGAGCAGGACACTTAACCCCACCTGCTCCTGACGAGCTGGATGGCGCCTTGTATGGCTGACACCCCTGTCGGTGTATAAATGAGTCAGTATATGGGTGAATGTGAGGCAAAATGTAAAGTGCTTTGGTGGTCATTGGGTCTGTGAAAGCGCTATGTAAATCAGTCCATTTACCTTCATTCAGATTTTGAAGTGCCTTGGTCTGGCTATGGCACAGATGCACTGCAATTGCAAGCTCGACCTCTGATTACCCCCTGGCTATGCCACCATCGAGGGTAGTGAGGGTCAAAGAACCCACGAAGGGTGTCCTGGCGGTGAAAGGTGTCTTCCATGACTCTGTGAGCTCCTTAGCACTTTCAGGTAGAAATAAACTGGAGTGGAAAGTCAAACCAATCATCCAACTGAAAAGCAAAGGGCAGGCTGGAGGAGTCCACTCAAGCCTGATATTAGTGGCGGCCCGGGCAAGCATGGCATCCGATGCATAAAACAAACATAACACATCAAAAGTAAATGATTTATACTTTACACAAAACAAGAAGATTGGAATATTGGTTTAAAACTGTACTCTGTTGAAGATTAGATTAAAAGTGTCATTGTGGAGTTAACGTTGCATAATGGCTTATAGACGCCTCAGAGAGAGAGAAAACTGGTGTGCAGGTACAGAACAGGAAGAGGAAACCCGCTGGTGCTCTTTAAAGAGGAAGTGGAGTGGGATCAGCCTACGATACTACGCTACCATGACTTTCTTTCTGAAGGAGAAATGGACACCATCAAAACACTGGCCAGGCCAAAGGTACATTAAATGCCATTTATGTTTGATTAAGTAGCACTACAACATGTTCATCAACTCTTTATATAAAATAATTACAGGTTACATTTATTTTAAAATGCTCTTTTAAAGTATTATTTCAGTGTAGACATGTTTACTCTTTTCCTGCCATTGACAGAACAGTAATTTCTCAAAATATCACACTGGCCAGTATGTATCAGTGTGTAGGAGAATTACAGGGAATGTATAATACCTTTGTAATTGATAACTGGTATTATTGATCATTTTCTGTCCCATTTTTTTTAAAATATAGAGTATTTATTATTAGTAATTAACAATATTAATCGAATGCAACACAAATCTCTGTTTATATTTAGCTTTCCAGAGCTAAAGTCATAGATCCAGTCTCTGGAAGAAAAGTTCCTGCAGCATCCCGTGTGTCAAAGAGGTATGCAAAATAAAAACTCATTTACTCATGCTCCTGTCTTTCCAAAACTATAATTAAAATTGTATATATTTTGAGAACTGTCAATGGTTTTTGTTTGTTTCCTTGTTACTTATAGTCCAGGGCAGTTAGCAGTTAATGTGATCATCCTTAATGTGATCGTCCTCTTTATGTCTCCCAGTGCGTGGCTCTCTGAAGATGAAGATCCGGTGATCACACAGGTCAACCAAAGAATTGCTGATGTCACTGGTCTAGAATTGGAGACAGCAGAGGAGCTCCAGGTATTCACATTCAAGGCCTCAAGATGCAACTTTGGGAGTTACTAGCTATGTGCATGACCAAAACTTATGTCACACAAATGGAAGTATGGCAATTATTTAATGACCAAAATAAATCGAACCTTAGTCAATAGTCAAGTCAAGTCACCTTTATTTAAATAGCACAGATTGTTTCACAGCTGTAATTGTTTTTAATTACTGTAATATAGCATTATCAGATTTCTTGTAGGTCTATGTATGTAGAGACCACAATCAAACACGTACTGGAGGTCACATTTCCCATTTTATGGGAAAGTTTCTGAAAAGAAAATATCTCGGGGGAACTTATATAATCTATCTTCTCTGAATAGGGAACGAGCTGCAGCATAGTGATGACATGAATCCGTATAGAATCACGCCAATTTATTGGCTGATGGCATGGGCTCTGCCTCAGCAGCACTACGTCACCTACGTCATATAATGAATGCGCCATCTTCTCCTCGGATTTTCTACCGAAGAAGCCCCCTTAGCAGCGAGAAGAGCTTAGAAGCAAATGCAATGTCTTGTTCCCTACTTAGAGAACATGGGTTACATAAGTAGCCCAAGAAGTTCTTTTCCATAGGTTTACTCAATGCTGCGTTGCGATGAAGCGATGGGAATTATATACCAAATACGCCAAACTAAGGGCTGCCAGATCTGGCCCAAAGAACTTTTTTTTTGGAACCAGACCAAACTCAACTGGGACCAAAACGACTGGTCCATGCAGGAAAAAAAACGGGAACCAGGACCCAAATCTAGGTTGTAAAACTTGATAAAAGTTTGCGGGTAGAAATGTCCTCCAAAGGGACTCCTCTAAAAAGAGCTTGGGAAGACACGACACTCCTAGTAGAGTGAATTATAATGCCCAGGGGTGTAGGGAGCTTTCGCACCTCATGAGCCAAAGAAATTGCATCTCTCACCCAATGAGTGATCAATGTGAGATCCTTTGATAAGAGGCCCTCAGCGGCCAGCCCCAAAGCACACAAATAATTGGGATCACTTGCCACTAGCCAGAAAAGTCCACATACAGCCCGAACAGTGCATAGCAAATAAAGCCTCCCCTCCTCCGTGGAGGCAAAGGGTGGAGGACAGAAAAAAATTAAGTATGGCCACTTGAGAGCGGAATGACATGAACAGAAAATTGGGGACATAATCAAGCTTGGGTTGCAGAAACACCTTCACAAGGCCCGGGGCAAACTCCATGCAAGGCCCACTCACAGAGAGAGCCTGCAGATCCCCCACATGCTTGAGAGAAGCCAACACTTGAAAAAACAACCTTAAGGGTCAGAATCCAGTCTGGAACTTATTCCAAAGGTTCGAAAGAAGGAGACAGAACGCGATTTATGTGGGACACCACTGCTATGTTGTCCATCTTGATAATAACATGAGAGTCTATCAGGGCCGGATGGAAGTGATCCAGAAAGGTGGCACACAATATATATGCAGTTTATGGGCCATGAAAGAAGCTTGCCCATCCAAACACTGCAAGCCAGTCTGCCCTTGAAGACCGCATCCCAATCAGTCAGGGAGTTGTCCATCCTGTGAACCTAATATCTGCAGACCACACCCATCTTGACCCCTTGTAAAAAAAGAGAGGGTCTTTCCACATCCAGAGAGTACAAAGGCAATGGTGCTCGATACTCAAACTGAAAGTAGGCTAAGAAGGACGGATGCCCCTGAGTTTCATCCACCACAAGAACAGTCTCATGTGAAGCAGACCCAAAGGCAGCACAGGAGAGTCAGAAGTCTGCAGCATGCACCCACTGCGACATGATGGCTGAGACTGAAACGAAAGGCAGGCGCCAAGAAGTGGGAGGTTAGCTGGCTCTCTTAGGCATGAACTGCATAAGGGCAGCAGATTGCGTCTTAGCCAAGCATGCACAGAGACTGGAAATTCGAGCAGGGGCCAAGCCGGCCTGCATCATTAGTGAATCGAGCTGGACGTCCAAGAAAATTGTCCACTGAGAAGGTGTTAAGACCCCTGAGACCAAGGGACCGGAGATGGTGGAGTATGTCACTCACATCCCTGTGACGACACACCAACTCCCTGGATTGAGCCATAATGAACCAATCGTCTGTGTAATTTAGTACACGTATGCCCTGGAGCCTCAAAGGGGCAAGAGAACGTCCGAGGAGCCAAATCTAGACCAAATGGAAGAACCCGATACTGGTATGCCCTTCCCCACAGGTGAACCTAAGGAACCTCCTGTGCCGTGGAATGACCTGGATGTGGAAATAGATATCCTTCAGGTCCATGGTAACAAACCAGTCCCCTGCTTGGATCTACGCCAGGATAGTTTTTAACGTCAGGATCTTGAATTTCCCTTCGTAGAGGGAAAGATTCTGACTAACCAGCTCCAATATTTTACACAGATCCCAGCCCTTCTTTGGAACGATGAAATAGTGCCTGAAAAGTCAACGGTTCATGTCCGAAGGAGGAAACTCCTCTGTTGCCCCATTTAGGAGGAGAGATGTCACTTCCTGCTGTAGAACAGAAGCCTCTAGGGCGCTTTTTGTTACCATGGGATGAATCCGTTGAAGCAAGGGAGGTTGCGACGGAACTGAGAGTGTGTCTGAATTAGAATTTGTGGGGAACCCAAAGCGACACACCTGGCACCTCCATGCTGCCAGGTTACATTAGAATGAGCCCCGGTGGGAGCTCGGCTGCCAGACAACTTATGTGGCTGCCAGGGAGAGATGGTTGGCACAAAGCTAAAGTTACTGGAGGAGGCACTGAGGCATCCTCTGGCATTGAAGACTGGCCCAATAGGCAAGGCAAGTTTATTCATATAGCACATTTCATACACTATGCCAATTCAAAGTGCTTTACAGAAAATAATAAAAATAATCACAAAATAAAAGGAGGGAGGTTAACAGGCCCTCCTAGGCATGAATTGCATAAGGGCAGAAGATTGCATCTTAGCAGTTTTCTAGTAGAAAAGCATTCTGCTTTTCACAAATATCAGAAAGATTTCCCCCATGGTGCGTCCAACCGCGCGTGCTTAGTTACACTCAGCACCAGGTCACGAGCTTTGTGGGGCTCTTTTACTGCTACCCTTGTCCATTTCCTTAAGGACGTTTGCTTGGTAGCCCAAAGAATGGCCATGATACGAAGCGCCATACCTGCCTGTCCAGTCGCTGAGTAGGATTTTCCAATGAGGATGGAAGTGGTCCTACAGGGCTTAGAAGGAAGAAGAGGGTACTTCCAAGATGGAGCAAAAGATAAGTGTCCAGAATGCTAGTATAGCCCTTCTCCACACATTCGCACCAGCCGAGTTGGGGAAGTCAGAGGCTGCTGCATTCGTTAGATGAGTGGGAAAAGGTCTTGAAATATCATGATGAAGATAGGCAGCTTTCTCCAAAAGGGGTGAGAATTAGATTGGCCGCTCAGAAAATGCTCGTCATGCTAAGGAGATTGAGAGTTGCGAGGCTCGTCCACAAGCTCAGTGTAGGCCTCAGAAGGCCAGGCTTACTGGTCAGTAAGTGGGAGAGCTTGGGCCGTGAGCCCAAAATCCCCAGAATCAGATGCCGTGGTGAAAAAAAACAGCCTCCATTCCTAAGGAAATGGCATTGCGTGCCTGTGGACTGGGGTATAAATAATCGTGGAGGAATTTTATAGGCGGATCAGCAGGGTGTAAGCGCTTGGGTGTGAGATAGAGAGAGAGAAACTGGCCTGCTCGTATCTCAACATCCGATCCTCAGGCCCATTCATGAAGGGCCTCGGCCATGTAATTTGCCACAGAGCGACAGGGGAGCGCGGATTAATCCTTATCAAAGCAAGCATGGCTCGGCCGGAGAGTTTAAAATTCCCAGAAAACTTGCAGCCAGAAGTGCCTTAAATAGCCTCGCGTGTCTGCGACAGGCAGAGGCATTTCACACACTTACTGTGTGGGTCGTCGCTTGCAATGAAGTGAGAGCACTGGCAATGACGAAGGAGAACGAAGCAAGTTTTACTCGCTGAAGGACAAATAGAGTACATCCAATAAAAATAGCTTAACTAGCACGGACCAGAAGAAGAAAATCTGAGAAGCAGATCACTAAATCAAGAGTTAGTGACGTAGCGCTGCTGAGGCGGCTCCTGCGCCATCAGGCAATAAATTGCAGTGATTTTATACGGGTTAAGACAATCAGCACCGCACGAGGTGTTTGGACCTATGAAAGAGAACGTGCAGTGCACCGTTTGGTTCCTGAAACATTTAAACAGAGGCCAGAATTGACTGTTCATGTGAGAATTGCGTCGATCTGTAACTTAATTCACTTTTTTATTTATTTTACAGATAGCAAATTATGGAATTGGAGGCCAATATGAGCCACATTATGACTCGAAGGTATATTTTTTATGTGTTTGTTATTCCTCTGGTCCTGTTTGAAGTTATGTACCTGGAATAGATTTAATAACTTTGTTACAAAATCTTTTTTTTCCACAGTTGACAAATGACTCAGACTTTCAACGCAGAGGAGGCCGGATTTCTACTGTCCTAATTTATGTGAGAGTATAATCTAACCAATCATGTATATATTTTAAATAATTCCCTCTTTCCGGATTATTGACAGTTAACTACTTTATTTTAGTTGAGTGACGTGGACATTGGTGGGGCAACAGTGTTCCCTATCATTGGTGCGGCACTTCAGCCAAAGAGAGTTAGTTGAAACACCTTGATTTTCCACACAGTGACAATGATTTCATATTAAATTAAGATAGATGAAATGACTTCCTTTAAGCTGTGCTATTCCATAAGGGTACAGCAGTGCTGTGGTTTAACCATCTAAGAAATGGAAATGAAGATGCCAGGACTTTACATGCAGCATGTCCGGTGTTTGTAGGCAATAAATGGGGTAAGTGTTCTGTGAGGTTTGTAAAGTACTAGTGAAGAAATATTTATTTTTGAAAATCAAGAACACACAACCCAAACTCATCCCCAAATCAATGTGCACTAGACATTCCTACACAATGTAAAACCTCCTTTGAATTCTTCATTCTAGTTGCCAACAAGTGGATTCGTACCTATGGGCAAGAGTTCAGAAGAAAGTGCTCTACAATCCAATCGGATTAAAAGACCCAAAGCAGATTGCACAGAAACATTCATGATCTCTAAGTAATGCGATTCAGCGAGGAGATTAGATGGATTCAAACTTCAATTTATTTAGAGGAACACTTTTTGCTTTAACGTCTGTAAATGGAGTGTTCGTTTTTTTGTGATAAAACAACACTATCTCACGACCAATTCGTACGAATTCGACGCATGATTAAAAAGTGTCTAATTCGTACGACCTCACTCGTACTAATTCGTACGATTTGTCTAAACCCACGTGATGGTTAAGTTTAGGGGCGGGGTAAGGGGTAGCTCATTCGTACGAATTCATACGAATTGGCCAATTCGTAAAATATGTACGATTTAACAAAATCGTATTAATTCGTACGAGTGAGGTCGTATGAATTGTTACGAATTAGCCACTTTTTAATCATTCGTCGAATTCGTACGACTTGGTCGTGAGATCGGGTTGGATATAATGTTTCTTTATTTATCTGCTTCTAATTAAATGATGTGTTGGATTGTTTTTTATTTCTTTTTTATTTTATCTTTATTTAACCAGGTTAATCGGTTGAGAACAAGTTCTCATTTGCAACCGCGACCTGGCCAAGACTACGCTAAAATTACAAGGCAACATAAAATTACATGTTGCGTACAACATTCAAATATATAATCACACATAAAAATGTTCAGGTTCAATTAAGATGCTGAACATAATTTACAAAAATTAGGGTAAATTTAAAATGATAAATGAGAACACACGCAGTATAGCTGGAGGATAGATAACCTGAGACAGCATGACTAACATGGTGAAGTGTAAGCTATTTCAACATAGCTATTCGGTTAGATATAGCCGATTGTAACATTGCGAGATAGGCATGAAAACATTGACATCAAGGTTTTTGCAAGAATTTAGTTTGTTATTGAACTTGTTGATTTTTACACCATACCATTTTATACAATACACCATTATAGCATCAGCCCCCCCCCCCAACCACACCTCTATTTCTATTTAATAAGATAAAAATATATATATTTTAAAACAGCAAACAAGGTGTAAACATTTTTCACATCTATCTATCTATCTATCTATCTGTCTATCTGTCTGTCTGTGTCTGTCTGTCTGTCTGTCTGTCTATCTGTCTGTCTGTGTCTGTCTGCCTGTCTGTCTGTCTGTCTGTCTGTCTGTCTGTCTGTCTATCTATCTATCTATCTATCTATCTATCTATCTATCTATCTATCTATCTATCTATCTATCTATCTATCTATCTATCTATCTATCTATCTATCTATCTATCTATCTATCTATCTAGAGGACTGCAGTGAGTAAACTGTGAATGTGATGAGGTCACTTTGACAGTACAAGGGGGTGGGGTTACGTAGCATCATTCTGACAGCCTGAGGGGGCGTGGTTTCGCAGCATCATCCCGACAGGAGAAGGAGGGCGGTGTTACGCAGCATCATCGGAGCTTGTCGTTTTATTGTACGGCTGCTGATGCTGAGAGGTCGCGATGAGAAATATGTAGGACCATGATTGTGGATTTGAGGTTTGTGGACTGTGGCACATCGTGGCGGATTGTTTTCTAGGTAAGCATAGCTTTATTCTGAGTCTCTGCTGTTTTAACTGTGTGTGTTCGCCGTCGCTGAGATGTGCTCCAGAGAGCCACGGACAGAATTAATGTATTACCGCAAGGCTTATAGAATGCAAATGCAAATGCTGATGGTCGGAAAACGGCTGAGATGTTTGTGTATGATTTGGTAGTCGTGTGATATGCTATTTTTGTATGGATATGTGAGTGTGAATGGGCGAGCTCGGCCTGCGCATCGGGACGCGTGTGAATCAGCCCTGCAGGCCGTGATGAGGAGGACACACACTGATGCGGTACATTAGGCTACATACCGGTTATTATGCAGTCACTCACATACATGTCTTCACTGATGCTACTCATGTAATCTCTCATCAGAGAAGGATCATTTGACAGGCCTAAGGCAGTCTATCACATGACTACTGCTGTGTCAAAACGAAGCGGTGACTGAAAAGACCGGGGAAAATGCATGTTGATATTTCAAATATTTAAAATTATCTTGCGAAATGAGCTTTAAATACATGATAATATGGCTATATGGCTTATAACACTGCTGTTGCTCTTCATCCATACTTAAAAATGCTTTAGAATTGTGTACAGCCCTTATGAAAATTAGCATGCTTTAAATAAGACCAAAAAAACAAACATGGTTGTATAAACCATGGTAACCACAAATTAACCATGGGTTTGCTACACTAACCATACTTTAACCATGGCATTTGTACTAAAACTGTGTGGTTATACAAATGGTAATCAATTGGCAAAAAAAAAAACAAAAAAAAAACATGGTTAGTCCACTTCACTTTTACCATAATAAAACCATGGTTTATTTTACATGGGAGGATTCCCATTGGGATTCTCATTATTTATCATTTGTGACCCATACTTATGGGGTTAAATAATAATCACTTAAATAATCTTACAGTGTTTACAGACGTTTTTAATCTTTACAGACGTCTTACAGTGGAATTTTATCCTTTTGGGAATCGTGAAAGTCCTACTAAAACATAGTTTAAGTTGGTGTAGCTGGAATCCAAAATTGGATTATTATTATTATTTTAAAATTTGTTTTTAGAATTGGTTCCAAATTATGATAGAAATAATAATAGGAATCCTTCGCATATTGGATTCAGTCAAAAGTAAAAAAGCAATAGTGGCTGATTTATGTGATTTAAAACAAAAATACATATTGTTATTAAAAGCAACATTATATTGCATTTTTTACTCTACAGATTAACTGTTTGTTAGTCTTCAATATATTACAAAGAAAACAAATGTTGATAAGTCTAAATGGTCAGAGTGCTTTACATTTCACAGTTATTGATTTTTAGCATCTTATTAGTATATGTTACCTGTTCAACATATTTAACCATTTAAAACATGAATATAATTATAATAGATATTATTGTACATATTATGAATCTGAGTATACCTGTTTAATTAAAACTCTGAAAGAACAACCATTCAAAGTGTCATTGGTATTAGTTTTGGATCGGATATTTTCTTAAACTATTTGAAAATATATTGTAGATAGCTGATCATTATACACTGGCTAATCTTACACTGAACTGAATTATTGTTAGACTGTTTTCAGAGAAACCCTTTGAAAACTAATTGTATTGTGTGTTATTGCACTGGCCTCCATTTCCAGCTTAGCAGAAAACAGGGATTTTAGGATTTTTTTCAATGCGTGGGTGAACCTGACCCAAGGAAACTCTTTAACCCACTGTAGCTGTGTGTGTGGTGTCTGGCGTTTGGATGCAAAACTGGGTCATGATGCCATGTGTGTGTGTACGTTTGCCCCATGCTGACAGGAAATGGGCCAGTGCAGTGAAGACTTGAGCATCCCATTAACATCCCAGTACTTCCATGAATGTTTGGCTCTTGCTCAGTGAAAATGTCTTTATTCATCAATTTTACCATAAATTGCTAAATTTGAGTGTACTGATTCGTCACATGCAGATTTATTGGTGGTGTCTGCAAAGACAAGCATCATAAGTAATCCATACTTGTAGATTTGACAAACTTTAGTGGTAAGAATGATTTGAAAAGGGGAATTAAAACACACAAAACCTCGTTTTATTGACTTTTATGTATTTATTTTGTTTTTAAAGCTTATTTAGGTAAATCTGGCAAGATCTTTTGTTGCTTTGAAAAATTGGACTCATTTCATTTAAGAAATGAGGCTACAGATTTGTCAAAAAAATGAAAGAGAAGACATAAGAAGAGATACCTTCCCAAAAACGATAAGGACGCTGTATATTTTAAGAAAATATAGTGCTTAACACAGAATAAAAACCAAAAATAGCATAACTGTCAGCATCAACAATATGTTTATGAAATAACTAAGGTTGATGATGTAATATAGAATATAGATTAAGGGATGCACAATATATATATATATATACATATATATATATTTTTTTATATATCAGCCACCATATCGGTATCAGTCGATATATGTTAATTTTTTTAAGTTATCGCTATATGAAATATATACAGTATGTCGTTGTACATCGCTCCGATATATGAAAGCCGATAAATAATATGTTATTTCCTTCAGGGGCCGTTTACACCTGGCCACTTCATGCGTTTTCTGTGATTGGATAGCTATCTGATCGTGAAAAGACCAGGTGTAAGCATTTACCCCCGAAATACATTCGAGGCGGATTTCAATCCGATCGCTCAAACCACATCAGAAGGTGGTCAGATGAAACTGGACATGAGTAAATGCATCTGGTTGTTGAAACCACATATGTAAATTTTACTCCTCCCCAAAATGCTAAAAAATAAACGCGTGAGAGCGTGTTACAGGCGATTTATCGGCCGATATATCGGTTATCGGCTTTCAAATATAAACGTTTTTCCTTGAAAAAAATTCTTCATGCCTTAAAATATCTTAAATGTAACTTCACCCTCATTTAGTATCTACGCTATACTACGAATATGCAAATGAGCCCCGCCCCCACTCACTCACTCAGCTCAGAGATCCACTCGGATGATCACACGTTGATCTGATTGGTTACAAGGTCGTTTGTGGCGTCAGAAACACCAGCGATTTCAAAGCGTGTTTTTGAGTCTGTCTTTGGTTCACTGCAGTTTTAAGCAGAAAATACTTGTTAAAAGACTTATGAATTTACACATGATTTGTCTTAAAGCGTGTTAAAAACACCACATAGACACATAAACAACATTAAAAGCTGTATTTTCCCCACAGGGGCACTTTAAAATAGGCAATGACTTTCCTCTAGATCTCCTGTACAGCTGAAACTCACTTTGTTGCATCGTTTTCCTGTAGAGCCAGACCGATATATCGGCAGACCGATATTATCGGCCGATATTAGGCGTTTTCCAAACTATCGGTATCGGCAGTTATAATTGCCGATAAACGAATATTTCAAAAATAAAATAAAAACGGACGAAACACGCTTGAACCTTGTCATGAGTGTTGGAGTTGTATAGTTTGTCCACCAGAGGGCACTCTACACCGTTCCTGTTGGCAACACTCGTTGAGTTGATCACGATACATACATTGCTTGAATAACAATTAAAAGAACATCCCCATCAGTTCTCTTAACTCAAATAAGCAGGACAAAATTTGTGACTATCATGTCCAGTTTAAATAAATAAATAAAATAAATATCGGCCGATATATCAGAATATCGGATTCTAAAACCCCAAAATATTTGTATCGGTATCGGCCTTCAAAATCCTTTATCGGTCGGGCTCTATTTTCCTGTTATCACTGTAAAGCTGCTTTGACAACACTCTGTATTGTATAAAAAAGCGCTATAGAAATAACGTTGTCTTGACAAATGTAGTTTTTTTCCAACTGTAATTTAGCCTTTTCTGTCTAATTAACATGAATATAAGAGTGGGCTGATGTGATTATTCACTATCTATTCAGCAGTGAATGTAATGTCATGCATCTGTGGTAATTTGTGTTATTAGCAGATATACAGTAAATGTTGCACTTACTAGAATGCAAAGCTCCTTTAAATAAATGTTTTCCACTTTTACTTAGCATGCATAAACACTAAAAACAGACAGATTCAGAGGGCTTTATGGACGCAGAACCCCATGAGAGATAGCCGGCTAAATCCGACCGGATGCGCAGCTAATCGGGAAGGACTGTAGACAGATGGGAGAGGAGAAATCAGATTATTGCCCCACACAAATATATATTTTTATATTTAGCATCCAGTGGCTACAGTGTGCGCTTTTGTGATTCAGTGCTTTCTGGGTTAATATGGTATTAGTGATGATAGTGGTGTTATGGCATCATGGTTCAGTCAATATGCTTTCTGTTTTTCTAGTAAATTATTGTTTTTCATGCATGCACTCAACAAAATAACTCTTTGAATGAACTTAAAAAAAAATCATTGAAAGGATTTCCACATGATCAACATTATTTCAGCATGTTTTAGACCAACTGATATGATTCAGATATTCTAATTCAATGCAATATAGTTTATTTTAGTGTCACACTTATCAATTTTTAGACTAGTGCCATCTATTTACTTCACTAGGTGCACTTCTTCTTATCATCTAAAGTGGTGATATTTACATGTTTCATCAACCAAGTATTGCTGAATTAGCCTAACCAAATGCTCCACTCTTCTCCACAATGGAAACGCACTGTAAATTAAATGGTTATAATCATTTCAATGTAATTGAACATTAAACATAACTACGCACTATCAAGTCTTCCCCTTTTCTCATTTTCTCAAAAAAGCATAAAATAAAACTTAATTTCAACATTTATATTTATATTTCAACAAGCAGTTTCAGTTAATGCAACAAATTATTCATGTAATCCAACACAAACAGATTAAGTAAACTTAAATTTTAAATATATTTAAGCAGATTGAACACAATCAAATTAAGTTTGGTCAAAATGTATAGCAATTGTGTTGCTTAAGCTCATTTTTACTAAGATATTTGAACAAGCATTTTTTTTTCCCGTGTGTACATTGGTAGTTATAATAATAAACTCTATGC